CTCTTTGGAACAAGTCCTCCGTTTAGACTTGTCCATATGATAATTTTTTTATTTATTTATTTTTTTCCTTCCGGCTGGCCTGTTGTCTGGGCCTGTCACCCTTATATACGGACAATTTAGCTTACCCAATTCACCTGCAGCATGTCTTTAGACTGTGGAGGAAACCGGAGCACCCAGAAGAATCCCACGCAAACGCAGGGAGAACATGCAAACTCCTCACAGAAACGCCAACTGAGCCGAGGTTCAAACCAGCGACCTTCTTGCTGTGAGGCGACAACACTACCTACTGCGCCACTGCATCGCCTCCCTATTAAATATCCTATCAATTTAAAAAAGTTATTGACTACCTACAAAGGCCCAAATGGCTTAGCTCCCCACTATTTGAGGGAGCTCCTGGTGTATTATAGCCTCTCACATCCTCTATGCTCAATTAATTCTGGACAATTGATTATTCCCAGCATATCAAAATCAACTGTAGGCGGTAGATCTTTCTCATATCTGACACCTAAACTCTGGAACAGCCTTCCTAGCACAGTTCGGGAAGCAGACACACTCTGTCAGTTTAAAACTAGATTAAAGACACTTCTCTTAGCCTTCACATACAAAAAACAAAACACAAATGCTGCTGAAATGCCTGACTGCCTGCCTGCCGGACTGACAGACTTGTGAAAAGTCCTATATAAATGCATTTAAATGACTTCTTTTAAACACTAAAATTTGGATGGTAAGACTGCCAAGATTTGTCAATACAAAAAACTGAGTCAACATTCATAAGTAGTCACTCATTTATCTTCAGCTTAGTCTTTGATTTGTCAGGGGTCACCACAGCAGAATAAACCACCAAATTATTTCACATAACCGATGCCCCTCAAGCCACAACCCAGCACTAGGAAATATCTCACCAACCAATAATGATGATTGACAGCCACATATTATAATGCCTCTGTATTAATGCATATTATTACATGGCTGTCTGGGATACTCAATTCTGTCCCGACATTCCAAGTTATGTTATTCCCAGATAACCACTGAATTATACATGCTTATACTGGAATCTTAAATAAACTTGACTATAAGTGAATACCTTCATATTCAGATGCTTACAAACACATTCATATGTAATCTAGAAAATCTCGAGGGCAGGTGCTCGATCAATAAAAACATTTGTAGCAAAAGATCAAAGAAAATTGGCACACTGCCACTTCAGCTCTCAAAAGTCTTTAATATCACTCACACAAACTTTTAAACGACATGGTCTTCATTACCTGATGAAGACCATGTCGGTCAAAACATTGTGTGAGTGACACCTGATGAAGACCATGTTGGTCGAAACGTTGTGTAAGTAATATTAAAGACTTTTGAGAGCTGAAGTGGCAGTGTGCAAATTTTCTTTTGATCTTTTGCTACTAATTCATCCTCACAAACAGCATGGATGGGTTGAGGCTCCAAGGTGGCAGGCACTTGGTCAGTTATAGAGCGGGCGATTGGGCAGCTGAAATTATATTAGAATGTATTGTTATACTTCCTTGTGTGTTTTACATACTCTTAGAAATGTTTTGTTTTACTAGTACTTGTGTGTATTTACATGTCTAAAACATGAATTAAGCATTAGGTGGTTAAAACACTTCATAACTGTTATAATATGACACGTCTTTCTCAGCGGGGTTAAGTTGGTTTTGTTTTTAAAAAAAAAAAAGAAGCACTTTTCCGACGGTCCATTACTGAGAGAGGTAAGGAACAAAAATAAGATTCTTTACTGATTTACCCTGCTGTTTAACTCCCTTCATCCTCATCCCTGTCTATGAGGTGTCGAACTCTGTATCAGTGAGCGAGAAAGAGAGAGACCAAGCACTCTGCTCCACGCTGAACTAATGTGTTTATTAAATAATCAAACTATTCCTTGTCGCACGACACAATGAATTGATTATGAAATTCGTTGCCGACACTTTTAGTATTCGATTTTTATCGATTTAATCAATTCGTTGTTGCAGCCCTATTGGTATTGAACTGATATCTGATCCAAGTATCGGGATCTGTGTATCCCTACAAATGACAAAGACTCTCTCAGAACATTAAAGGTTTATAAAACCCTTAAGTACTTTTTTGAGATTTAATCAAATTTGTGTGTGTTGAGCATCAATTAAGACAACATTAGCACCTGTTAGCTTTAATTGTGGGGAAATCTGAAAAATTTTGAGCCTTTGTCAGCTGATTTCATCTCCTGAGTTTAAAATCATTTTTGTGGTGGGATCAAAATCAGTGATGCAGCACTATCTGCCTGTCCAGTGATGACGTGTCGATTTCTCATTATTATTCATAGACTGAGTTTTCTTATTCTATGAGAAGAGTCTGCTTCTTAATTATTCATGACAGAATGTGCTTTTTGACAGACTCATATGGACAGACCTGACAAGGTGTAAGATGATGCACTGCATGCACTATTTAGGTGGTTGTGAATTGTTGTATGTGTTTGTTTCCATGATCCACAGGGTTTATTGCATGGTTTCCCTGCAATGCTGTCAGGCCAGATACAGCCAAGCTGTTTGTGTGCAGCGAGCATTTTTGTCAGGAGAGCTGTACAAGAATTGAAGAATGACTTTTTCTTTTATTAGTTTTTTACCATTCAGACAAATCGCCTATACCCGTGCTGCTGTGTTCACACCTGTTTAATATCTTCAACATTAGCGGCAGGACTAATGGATTTAACAGATAAGAAATAAGTCCTGCTGTACTTCTATCCACGGTGCCTGCATTCAGACCCAGAGATTCAGGAGGCGAGAAGTCCTCCTAACGTACAGTGTTCACACATAAATTTTGGTTATGTATTATGATAATACCTAATGTATATGTAATGGGCCATTTATGTATCTACTGTTTATTTCTAACTGTTTATTTTAAGTTTGTAAACTATAAAGTCAAGTGTCTCTTCATGTTTTGTTCTGTTTTTTTCTTTCTTTTTTAGTCTTGAGTTGGTGCGCAAACTGATAGTTGTGCTGTGCCGGCCACTTCCACTCCTCTCTCTGCGTTAGACACCCATCATAGACCTTTTTTTTTTGTAAAAAAATTCTGAGGTAATAATAATAATAATAACGATTCCTTACATTTATATAGCGCTTTTCTGGGCACTCAAAGCACTTTACACAACGGGGGGAATCTCCTCATCCACCACCAGCGTGCAGCATCCACCTGGATGATGCGACGGCAGGCATTTTGCATCAAACTGCACACCACACACAAGCTGATTGGTGGAGAGGAGACAGTGATAAAGCCAATTGGGATATGGGAATGGTTAGGAGGCCATGATGGACAAAGGCCAGTGGGCAGATTTGGCCAGGATGCCGGGGTTAAACCCCTACTCTTTTTCGAAGGACATCCTGGGATTTTTAACGACCACAGAGAGTCTGGACCTCGGTTTAACGTCTCATCCGAAAGACGGCGCTCACTGAGCAGTATAGCGTCTTCGTCACTATACTGGGGCATTAGGACCCACACAGACCACATGTTGAGCGCCCCCTGCCAGCCTCACTAACACCACTTCCGGCAGCAACCTAGCATTCCATGTGGTCTACCATCCAGGTACTGATCGGGCGCAGCCCTGCTTAGCTTCAGTGGGTGACCATTTGAGAGTTGCAGAGAGCTAGCTGCCGGCGTCAGGTAGACTTAAACTTAAAGTGGCGGGTTTAACCCTTTAAATGAACTTGACTGTATGTGAATTTATTGCCACCCATATACTTATAAACACATTAACATGTATCTGCTTGTCTGTCACACTGCTATTTTTGACTATTTGGAAGGGTTGTATAGGGTTGTCACGAGACTGGAATTTGGTAGCAATTGATGCTGAAATTTTAAAAACGTATATTTTTGATGCTCCAAGACAGCACTGATTTGCCTTTGGCTGTTTCTCAATATGCTCTCGTGTAACGTCATCATCAGCTGCCAAAGTTCAGTTTCAATACTCAAGACCGCAAGAACAGAGGATGCGTGAAACTTCCCGGATGTGCTCTTGATATCGAGTACACACCGATGTAGAAGTCATTGCGACTGGAGGTGGGATTTGCAGCATTTTATAAAGTTCAGAGATTTACCTTATTTACCTCAGGAGTTACCTTAAATGAAACGGTGAAAGCAAACATAACCATGGACATCTTAATAAAGGGATAAACACATTAAGGGTGTTTGTTTGTTGAAATTCATATTAAAATATGTTTTATTTATATTGTGCAGAGTATATTTATAATGTTTTTATGCAAAGCATATAATTTGAAAAGGGGAAAACAATAAATCATTGTATGAATGCGGTAATGTTTAAATAATTTACCATTTAAAACGTGTGAAGGTCACGTGACCATCAAGAAGAACGCAACATCTAATTTCTCAAAGGATGCGTTCTCTGCCCTCGCGATCTTCTGAAATCGTTCTTCCGAGGACACCTGGTAAGACCGCTCTCCACAAAAACGCAAGTCCATTCTTTGCGTTCTTGGAATTGAGAAACAGCCCTTGTGTTCATGTGCTCAACAGAAATGACTGTGATTAGCCATGAAGGTCATCACCTCACTAAACTCACTGCTGTTTACTGAGTGCAACCACAGTTACAGGGACACTGGAGCGTTTTAAAGTCACATACATCAGCTGATTTTGTCTATAAGCTGACATATTATCGATCCGCTGAAGAATTGTGGCTTTAAATCGCTCCAGTGTTTTATCCTGCAGATAGAATAAATATTTTAACAAACTGTATACCAAACTTGGCCTTTATGTAATATTTGTATCAAAGTAAAAATAAAAACCAATAACAAGACAGTGACACAAAAAAGAAAGCACACTTTTAAGCTGACCTGCACTTTTAAACAGAAACAGACAATTTTAACCTGGACAGAAAAAAAGATTGTATTCCAAACCTTATGTTCAAGAAAGAGAGAAAACAAATCATACTGTTAATAAATTACATCAGAGTGGGCGGTAAATGGGTTGGTCCGCCTGATCCAGACACAGTATAAATGAAAAGACAGAAAGGAGAGCAGAACAAACTCCTAACAGGAGGAGACTCACTCATGGCCTATGAGACAGAGGATCTGGAGACTCAATACTGCTTTCCTGACATCAACTCATCATGTGTCAAGGAGAGACGCTCCAGTCATAGATTTGTTATCATATACTTGTTTGTGTCATTGCTGTCAGCATGGACTGTGTTTCTGAACCTGCTGGTGATCATCTCCATCTCTCACTTCAAGAAGCTTCACACTCCAACCAACATGATTATTCTCTCTCTGGCTGTAACTGATCTGCTTGTTGGACTCGTCATGCCTGTAGAGGCCATCAGAATGATTGAGACGTGTTGGTATTTTGGAGACACTTTCTGTGGACTTCATTTATTATTTGTGTCATTACTTATTGCAGCATCTCTTAGTAATTTGGTTTTAATTGCTGTTGATCGTTATGTGGCTGTGTGTCACCCTTTACTGTACCCACAGAAAATAACCATCACTAAAACACTTATGAGTATCTGTCTGAGCTGGGTTTGTTCATCAGCTTATAACACTGCCCTTTTAATCAATAATGGATATTTTGGCACTTCACACAGAACAGACGTGTGTTATGGGGAGTGTTTGTTCATGTCAAGTTTCAATTGGGTAGTGACTGATCTGTTCTTGTCTTTTATTTTTCCTTGTTTGCTGATCATCTCTTTATATTTAAGGATCTTCTATGTCGTTCATCAGCAAGTGAAGGTTATAAACTCTCTGATGAAGGGTGGTAAATGTGTAACGGAGGGTTTAGTGAAGAGGAAATCTGAGAGTAAAGCTGCTCTGACTCTAGGAATCATTGTGTTAGTTTATCTGCTTTGCTATATTCCATATTTCATCTGCTCTATAACTGTAAACTCCTCCACAACTATAAATGGTTTATTATTTGCTGTATGTGCCAACTCAGGTCTGAATCCTCTGATTTATGCTTTATTTTACCCCTGGTTTAAGAAGACAGCTAAACTCATTTTAACCCTGAAAATTTTTCATTCTGCATCTTCTCTGATCAATATTTTTACAGAACATTAATTACTGTAACTATAGCTGAGGCGATGCCTCCTGTCAGTGTCATTTTTAATTCCTCATTAAACAAGTCCAGCTGTTTTGTGTTTATAGCAGTCCACATGTACTTCTTACAGGACAAAATACAAAGTAAAGCCTCTGTTGAGTACTGACTAACATCGTAACTACTGCTCTGACAGACTCACAATGGGGAGACGTGTTTCACATTAAGACACACTGCTTTTCATTTTTAAACAAATACATTTGCAGTGGATTTATGTGGCACTTATGTGGCACCTTTGATTATACCTGAAAGCAGAAAGCTCTGTCCTGTTTCAACATACTGTGATGGTGGAGGGTGGTAGATGGGGTGCTGTGATGAGAAACCTTGGTTCACCATGAGGGTTTGTTGGATTAGTTTCAATAATCTGTTGTCTCATTAAGTCATGACTATAATTTTTTTAATGTTTTTCTTTATTTCTAAAGCGATTTTACAAAGTAGATTCTTAAAGCAGCTTAACATAGTTCTAGTAAGTTAAATCAGAGTCAGTCCAGTTAAAGGCACGACACAATAAGGAAGGAGCTCTTCAGGTTGGCACATGTATTGTATTCAGGTATAAAATGTTGACAATGTAAAAACAGTCATGTAGAAGCTCACAGGACAAAGATAAAAAGTACATACAAAGCTAAATCAAGGGACACCCATATCTGCTAAGAGTGTCAATGTTTATTTTGCTTCCATGTTAAAGAAAAAAAAAATTGTTTATTCACTGTCATAAACAAGAACAATCCACATAATAAAACTAACAAAACCAACAGATATAATAACGTATTACTATACTAAATGGCAGATCAGTTTATCTTGATATGCTGTTACCAAAAGCATAATGTACCATACTCTGAACCTACCTGACCATACAGTACCCCATCTACAGTCACTTCAAGACAAAAAGCTGTAATATTTGGGTCACAAGTACAACTCCCTTTCCTTGTTTACACACTGCTTTTCTTTTTAAAACAAATGCATTTGCAGTGGTTATATGTACCAATTATAGGGTCACACCATTATTTGGGTCATTTGCATCACTCTACTTGCGTTGTATTTGCATTGTCTCACACAAAAAACATTACATATATTTCTATATGCTGTAAAAGTAGTCAAAACAAATGACAATAACACAGTGTTGTTAGTTCATTTTTTGTGAAAAACCTGATGTGGCCCAGCCTAACCCAGACTCTGCCTCCAGCGGCCCCCAGGTAATTTGAGTTTGAGACCCCTGCTATTCTAAATGGCAGATCAGTTTATCAAGATATGTTGTTAATAAAAGAAAGATATATGGCCAAGCATAATGTACCATACTCTAAATTTACCAAACCATACAGTACCCCATCTACAGTACAATCTCTTTAACACTTGAAGCTGTGGCCTTTGGGTCACAAGTACAACTCCCTGAATAGACTTCTCTTTACATACAGTTGACAGAAGCATGTAAACAAATTAAAATAAACTTTTTTTATCATGACCAAAACACTCTTTTTTAGATGGTCATACAGTGCTCTAAAATGGTTTTAAAGAGTACTAATCCAAAGCCCTGCTAACTACAGTATGTGATTTTAGCCATGATTTGGTCATCCGAGACAAATTTAAGAAATCCTTAAAAGATTTCTACAACCCTAGGCTAAAATCTGTGGTATTTGATTATTGATTTGACATGTTCAGTGACAGCTAAACAGCCGTTCTGATCTTCTCCTGATTGAATATTAGCAGTGTCAGATTTCTGCAGTGCAACTTCAACTTCCTAAATAACAAACTTCAGCTAGTTCAGAATGCAGCTGCTAGAGCGCTTTCTAGAACACAGAAATATAATCATATTACTGAATTTTGAATCGAATATTCCCAAAATCAACTGTAGGTGGTAGATCTTTCTCTTATCTGGCACCTAAACTCTGGAACAGCCTTCCTAGCACAGTTCCGGAAGCAGACACACTCTGTCAGTTTAAAACTAGATTAAAGACACATCTCTTTGCATTTGTGTACACATAAAACAGAAAATGCTTTTGAAATCCAAATGCTCTAAAGCAGGCATGACCAAACTCGGTCATGTAGGGCCGATGTCCTGAAAAATTTACTTCGAACCCCAATCAGACAAACCTTGGCCAGCTAATCAAGCTCTTACTAGGCTTTCTACAAACATACTTGCAGGTGTGTTGAGACAAGTTGGACCTAAAATCTACAAGCTACAAGCGAGTTTGGAGACCCCTGCTCTAAAGGATTGTTAGTCTGCATTATTTAGGTCAACCTAAATCATGTCATTATAATTTGAACAACATCTGCGATTATGTTAGTCTGTTTTTATTATTCCAGAGGTTTCCATAATGCTGGACCAGGCTGTATTCTGAGCAGCTGCTGGGGTGGTTATGGAGGAGTGGAGAGCATGAGACTGATCCCTGTAAGACCGAAGTGACAGACAAGTCTTCGCATTGATCCTAAAGGGCCTTCCCACCTGCAGCTTCTCCACAATGAACGTCCAGCTTTCTTTAGCCTCTGGCACCTAGACTGCAGCTCTGCACAAGAAGTTTGGCCATTGAGCCTGTTTTTTCTCTAGGTTTTTCTGCCTTCACTTTTGCAAATTGGTAAAGTTTCTTCCTCGCCACTGTCACTACTGGCTTGCATGTTTCGGAACTTGTGGAGCTGCTTATCTATGGATTACTCTTCAGTGTTTGGACTCTCAGAAGTGAAAATTAACCCACACTGAACTAAACTTAAACTCTGAATCAAATCAAATTACTTTTATTGTCACTTCATCAGCATGCGTGCTATGATGAGTGAAAAGCTTGGGTGCTGGCTCTAGACAGACTTCCTTCAGTCGGCTGGTGCGTGACCGGATGCTGCGGAACCGTCTGTCTGAGGGTAGCAGAGAGAAAAGTCTATGGCTTGGGTGGCTGGAGTCACTGATAATTCTCTTGGCTTTCCTCATGCACCGCCTGGTGTAGATGTCCTGGAGGGAGGGAAGCTCACCTCCTACTACGCGTCCCGCAGTTCGCACAATCCTATGTAGGCCTTTGCGATTGCTGCTGGTGCTATTTCTATACCAGATGGTGATACAGCCAGACAGGATGCTCTCCACTGTGCAGGTGTAGAACGAGCGGAGGATATGGGGGCACATTCCAAACCTCTTGAGGAAGAAGAGGCGTTGTTGTGTCTTCCTCAGGACCGCGTCTGTGTGAGCAGTCCATGTCAGATCATCAGCGATGTGGACTCCAAGAAACTTGAAAGTGCTGACTCTCTCCACTGGTGTCCCGTTGATGGTAATAGGGGTGTGTTCTCTCTTCTCTCTCCTGAAATCCACCACCCACTTCTTGGTTTTGTTGATGTTGAGTGAGAGGTGGTTTCCATCACACCACTGCGTCAGAGTGTGCACCTCCTCTCTATAGGCCGTCTTATCATTATCTGTGATTAGACCCAACCACCGTTGTGTCTTCAGCAAATTTACCGATGACGCTGGAGCTGTGTTTTGCTGTACAGTCATGTGTGTACAGGGAGTACAGGATTGGGCTGAGAACACAGCTCTGTGGAGCGACAGTGTTGAGGATCAGTGTGGACGAGGTAATGTTGTTCTTTATGGTGCAGATACAACAACCTGGAGCTGCACACGCTTAAAACAATAGGGATGATAGTGGACTTCAGGAGAGAGAAACCCCCCTGCACTCTCCCCTCTTTCCATCATGAACAGCACTGTGGCTGCAGTAGAGTCATTCAGGTTCCTGGGCACCACCATCTCTCAGGATCTGAAGTGGGACATTGACGTAGACGCTATTGTGAAGAAAGCTTAGCAGAGACTTTACTTCCTTCATCAGCTGAGGAAGTTTAACCTGCCACAGGAGCTGCTCATACAGTTCTACTCAGCTGTCATCAAATCCATCCTCTGCACTTCAATCACCATCTGGTTCGGCTCAGCTGCCAAATCCGACCTCCGTAGACTACAGCGAATAGTCCGGACTGCTGAACGAATCACTGGCACTACCCTTCCTACACTTCAAGAACTGTATTCTTCCAGAGTGAGTAAAAGAGCTCGCAAAATCACACCTCGCAATCAGCACATTGACTGTTTAAACTGTTACGGCACTTCAGGGCACCAAGCACAAAAACAGCAAGACACAGGAATAGTTTCTTTCCTCAGGCTATCTACCTTATGAACAGTTAAATATCCCCTTACTATGCAATAATATGTGCAATACTTTCTCATACGCACTTGTACAAAGCACCTTATATCAATATACAATGCAATGCTAAAGTCGCATTTGTACACAGCACCGTATAACCTTTATATTTATAACAACTCTGTACATACAAATTAACATCCACATCTTTTTACTAACTGCATCTCGGTTTAATGTTTATCGTCTTTTTTTTTCATATTTGTTTTGTGTTGTCACTTGTCACTATATGTACACTGGAAACTCTGTAGCCAATACAACTTCATTGTGTTTTTTGTAAAGCACACTTGGCTATAAAACTGATTTTGTATCTTAAACCACAAAGAGTGACAAACCAAGAATAGGAGTGCAGAATCTAACTTGCTCCTTCAAAACACCCCAAAGTGCCACAATAATATTTTGACTGTGCAGGCCATGAGAAATATTCAATTTGACTTGATGTACATTAGGTGTGTAACGGTCAGTGGTGTAAAGTAACTGTTTACAAATACTTAATATACTGTGAGTATTTTTTCTCAGAAATTTTAATTTACTAAGTCATTTAAAAAGTGTTTACTTTTACTCTCTCTTGGGTACATTTTTAGTGCAGTATTGGTACTTTTACTCCACTACTTTCCTTCATCGTACTTTATTTTTTTTCTTGTCTATGAGGATTAGAAAAATCAGTCATGTGATTCCTGTCCAATCACATAGAAGGTAAATTGCATCATAATGAACTACCTCAAGACATGTGTGCTTTATAATTGCAGCAAACTGTTTGGAAGCATTAAAAGTGTCCAAGAAGATGTCCTAAATCTTTACATGCATTGACTAGAGACTGTTTAGATGCATGTCACTGATGAGAAGATGACAGATGTTTACTGTATGATGACTGAAAAAGCCTGTAACACCCAGCAGGCACAAGACATCAACATGATGCCAGATTTACAGTGTACCCTAACGTCATGGGGACGTTGCGTTTTGTTTGGAAATGAAAATCGAGTTGAGCAGATGTGCTTTTTAATCAGCTTCTCGTCAGAACTTAACGTCAGACCAATGTCAGTGTCCAACATTCAACCTAAAACCAACCCAATATCAGCATCTAATGATGTTACAGCTTGGTGTTGTGTGGATGTTTACCACTATGACATCTGTCAGACGTTTGATTTTGGTTGCCATACCTGAGGAATAAATGTCAGTATTTGTTGCGAATATGACGTTGGTTTAAGATGTTGGCATCGTTATTGGACATCAAAATAATGTTGTCCTTAGACGCCGGTTAGACATTTTGGTCACCTGACATCACAACCTAAATCTATCCTAATATTAACATCTTATGACATTGTGTGCCTGCTGGGTAATAACTAGATGCACTACAGAATGTTACGTTTACACACATCCACAAATTACATGTAAATGCATCAGCTTTTAACAGCGTAATACTCACTACTCCTGAGTACTTTTAAAAAGGCTACTTTTAACTCATATTTGAGTAATATTTACAGCAGATACTTTTACACTACATTTTTAGACAGGTCATTGTACTTTTACTTGAGTAGGATTTTTCAGTACTATGTCCACCACTGGGACATGTATTCATCCTGAAGTGCCATGACGAATACAGTCAGCCCAGATGTGCAGCAGTGACTGTTCCACAGAGTTTTATTCAATTCACCTTTATTCCTATAGCGCTTTTACAATGTAGATTGTGTCAAGGCAGCTTCACATAGAAGATTATACGAAAAGACCACAGCAGTGCCACAACTGAGGAGCCATTCACAAAAAAAATGGCAGGTACTTCTCTTTGGGGCTTCTCCACACCGTTGGATGTGGGAAAGACAGTGAGGTTGGACTGATTAGAGAAAGATACATGTAATGGCCCATTTCCACTGAGTGGTACGGTATGGTTCGGTTTGGTACGCTTTCATGGCCGTTTCCACTGTCAAAAGGCATACCGTACCGTACCACTTTTTTGGTACCCTTTCGAAAGGGTAGCAAAAGGCAGAGCTAGACCCGCTGCTGAACGCTATTGGTTTACAGAAATATGTCATTTGCTTACTCAACAAGCCAGAATGAAAACAAAGAAGCCTCCATGTTTGAAATACACAGCAGAGAGATTACAGAGGAATTATATATACATATAATAATGGGCCATGGTCGACTTGGGCTCAAACAAACCTTGTCGTCATCTTGATGAACAGCCACAAAGCCATGAAGTAGAGCAGAATCTACCCTGTGCCTCGTACTTTTTTACGAGCCAGTCTGAAGCGCGTGCGGTTTCGTTTTCTTCCTTGCATTCGCCGCGCTTCTATTTCTGAAATAACAAACTTCATGAGCTGATGATAATATTGTGCGTTTGATTATTGACGTGCTTTTGAAACCCGATCCTGTTAGACACTGACAAACGCGAAAGTGAAGCACGAAAAAAAGGAGAAGCCGGGAAAAAAAGGAGAACATCATTTCTTCAGCAAGAAAGAACAAACTTTCTTGTTATCTGTGTTTGTCTTATCACTATAATTAAGAATTTTTTTTATTGGTGATTACATCAGAGTGGGCAGTAGATGGGTTGGTCAGTCTGATTCAGACACTGTATAGACCTTTATCATGACTGCTGCATGGAGGGCGCCATAGCGACCAGCGTCTTCCGGTAGAATGCTAAAAACTTCCGTTTACAGCGTGTACAACTGGTAATACACGCTCCGAAAATGGGTTTCAATAACGTTTTAATGGATAAAAGAGTGTTTTTGTGACACATCACTTAGAAATGTGTCTGTTAAAGCCGTTATAATCTGTCACATGTGGTTCAAGAGCATCAGAAATACGAGAAAAACGTTCTCCTAGTTCACATGTCTGCCGTCAGAAATACAGTATGTGTGTGCGATCCCGGCCTGTCAGCTGTCAGCTCAGCGGCTCTTCAACACACACACACGCGCTCACACACAGAGAGAGAGAGAGAAAAAGAGAGAGAGAGCGAGAGCAAACCAGAGTACTGGCATGAAACTTAACAGGTATAAAAGTCGTGCAATTTACAAAAATGAACAATAAAAGTCTGTTATTGATACTCTGCTGGCTGATTTGCTGTTCATTCTAATCGCGAGCCGTTTGTGTTTTATTTTGTGTGTTGTTTTTTACCACGGTATAAAACAACTTTAAAGCCAATCCACATCAAAGTGATTCACATAAATGAGCTCCGGTGCTAATCTGAATTTAAAAGGATGAATGATGTACAGCAGCTAATTAAAGCAAATAAACTAATTTATTATTTGTTTTTTTTACTTTTAACCAGTGGCAGAAAACCCAACCTGTAAAGAATAAATGGATTTAATCTTAAAGGTGATGTGCAAAAAAAGTTTTTTTTTTTTTTTTTTTTAATACATGACATCAGGGTGGGCGGTAAATGGGCCGGTCAGTCTGATCCAGACACTGTATAAATAAAAGGACAGAAAGGAGATCAGAATAAACTGAGACTCACTCATGGCCTATGAGATAGAGGATCAGGAGACTCAATACTGCTTTCCTGACATCAACTCATCATGTGTCAAGGAAAAACGCTCCAGTCAAGGATATATTATCATATACTTGTTTGCATCGTTGCTGTCAGCATGGACTGTGTTTCTGAACCTGCTGGTGATCATCTCCATCTCTCACTTCAAGAAGCTTCACACTCCAACCAACATGATTATTCTCTCTCTGGCTGTAAATGATCTGCTTATTGGAGTTGTCATGCCCATAGAGGCCATCAGACAGACTGAGACGTGTTGGTATTTTGGGAACATTTTCTGTGGACTCTATTTATTATTTATTTCTTTACTTATGTCAGCATCTCTTAGTAATTTAGTTTTAATTGCTGTTGATCGTTATGTGGCTGTGTGTCACCCTTTACTGTACCCACAGAAAATAACCATCACTAAAACACTAATGATTATCTGTCTGAGCTGGGTTTGGCTTTCAGCTTATAGCATTGCCCTTTTAATCAATAATGGATATTTTGACACTTCACACAGATCTGATGAGTGTTACGGAGAGTGTTTAGCCATTATAAGTTTTAGTTGGATCATCACTGATCTGTTCATGTCTTTTATGTTTCCTTGCCCTCTGATCATGATGTTATATCTGAGGATTTTCTATGTCGTTCATCAGCAAGTGAAGGTTATAAACTCTCTGATGAAGGGTGGTAAATGTGTAACGGAGGGTTCAGTGAAGAGGAAGTCTGAGAGTAAAGCTGCTCTGACTTTAGGAATCATTGTGGCAGTGTATATGCTTTGCTGGATTCCTTATTATATCTGTTCATTAATTGTAATCTCTTCCACAGCTATGATAGTTATAATATGGGCTGTATATGCTAACTCTGCTCTGAATCCTCTGGTTTATGCTTTATTTTACCCCTGGTTTAAAAAGACAGCTAAACTCATTGTAACTCTGAAAATACTTCAGCCAGCATCTTCTCTGAGCAATATTTGTACACAACATTAAATATAATTATTTGCAAAGCAGTCACTGGTTCATATATAAAATTTGACATCTCTGTTATTTTCACTCCTCTTGCTACAGTATTACAGAGTTTATTTCAACCTGTATGTTTTGATGTTTAAGTAACTGAATTGCTTTAAAAACAAGCAAAAAATAAGTGTGGCAATAGTACACTCTTAAAACAGACGTGTTAAAAACAACACAACCTGTGTTTTTTTTAACACACACACGTCTAGTTAAAGAAAACACATTGTGTTATTTAGAACTTTGTGTTTTATTCTTTTTAACACAGACCATGTGCTAAATTAACATATAAATTTGTCATAAAGCACATCTGTGACACAAACTGTGATTTTTTTTAGCACCTTAACATTAATAATACATGAATGAATGAATTTTAATTAAACTGGTAAAGCTGCCTCTTATAATACAAGTTATATATTATCTGTATTGCTATATATTGTATTAATTATAACATATATAACATTTATTTAATTTAAGATCGATTTTAAGAGTAAAAAAGCTAAATTGGTAGTGAGTGCACTGTTCCAAGTTCATTACACAATGTTTATGCAAAGCATTGGGGCCAGTGAAGTAATGCATTATAGGTCATTTATTCAATTTTCATCAAGCCACCATGATTAATTTTCCAATTCACAGGTCAAACAGGAAAGCTGAACTCTATCTAAGGCACTATTGCATCACTCCAGTGCTGTGTGTGTGTGTGTGTGTTCATAATAGTTCACACCTTTAATGAACATTTCAGTGGAGGATCACCTCTAATAATATCAATAATACAGAGAATAAATCAAACAATTATAATTGGTCCTCAGAGTTGTTACATCATTGATGTTTTTACTGATCAGTAAGAGTAAACAAAGACAGACCAACCCATGTGACTGCCTGGAGAGAGGCCTACTGTACCAACACTTCCATTCTACAAGCCCACTGTACAGTTTTACAACAAATAATATGTATTTTCTAAATAAATAAAACAAGTATCACCCTTTACTGTACCCACAGAAAATAACCATCACTAAAACATGGGTTTGCTGTAATTAGTAATGGATATTTTGACACTTTACACAGAACTGATGTGTTATTGAGAGTGTTCAGACATGATTAGTTTGAAAGTTTTTAGTTGAAAGCTCACTAATCTGTTGATGTCTTTTATTTTACCCATAATGAAAACTTTATATTTGAGGATTTTCTATGCAGTTCATTGGAAAATGAAGGTTATATACTCTGTTGAAGGTTGGTGAAAGTGTAAGGGAAATGAACAGAAGACTTTTAACTTTGCCATCGGAAGGACATTGTACAACAAACTGTAACCTTGTCATCACACCTGAGGTATGCTCTAGCGTGCTGATTGGTCAGTTTGAATGACTCAGATGTGGATTTTGGTCATATGGTCAAGAAAGTGTAAAAGAACATTCTATTAGAGATAGGAGAAAATAAGCCATTCACCACACTATAACCATATTTTTCATAATGATTTCAAAGTTGATTTGTGTATTTCAAAATTGATATATCAGAATAGGAATTATGAAGTCAGAATTATTAGCCCCGCTTTAATTTTCTTTCATTTCTTTTTTTATAAATATTTCCCAAAAGATGTTTAACACAGTGAGGAAATTTCCACAGTATGTCTGATAATATTTCTTCTGGAGAAAGTCTTATTTGTTTTATTCCGGCTAGAATAAAAGCAGTTATGAATTTTTAAACACCATTTTAATAAAAATATTATTAGCCCCTTTAAGCTAACTTTTTAACTGATAGTCTACAAAACAAACCATCTTTATACAATAACTTGTCTAATTACCCTAACCTACCTAGTTAACCTAATTAACCTAGTTACGCTTTTAAATGTCACTTTAAGCTGTATAGAAGTGTCTTGAAAAATATCTAGTCAAATATAATTTACTGTCATCATGGTAAAGATAAAATAAATCAGGTATTAGAAATGAGTTATTAAAACTATTATGATTAGAAATGTGCTGAAAAGATCTGCTCTCTGTTAAACAGAAATTAGGGAAAAAATAAACAGAGGGGCTAATAATTCAGGGGGGCTAATAATTCTGACGTCAACTATATACCATGCTCTGATTCTTTATTATTTTAGGCTACATTTAATGGTCTGTCTAGTATAACAGGGTAATATACAGTAGAACAAAGCAGCTCAGCTTTACAGAGTCAAAGGTTGCGTCCGAAACCACATACTTCCATACTTTACAGAACGCTAAAATCAGTATGTAAGTCGAGTAGTATGTCCGAATTCATAGGATTTGAAAAACAGTATGCGAGAAGTACCAGGATGACTTACTACTTCCGGCAAGATTCTGGAGTGCGCATCCCATGCACGCTGCGCTATCCCATGATGCCCCACGAGTGAATTCATGAATGGGAGTGAAGAGACGCAACTGACGCAGGTAGGTCTCGTGACCATGACAAAATGGCGGACGTAGCACACCTGAATTCCATTCTTTTCACGTTCATACTGTATAGAACGTACTTTTCTAACGACCGAGTAGTACGTTTAAATTCAAATGCAGTACCTACTGAGTAGTAGGCGGTTTCGGACGCAGCCAAAGTGTTCTGGGATGCAACATGGCAGCTATGGGAAGCAAAAAGAGAACAAAAGGCTATGCGCTGTCATTTTATACACTACTGTGCACTGCACATGCTCAGAGTAGCCTGTCAGCTGGAGATTCCTTGTGATTTTGTGAGGGGATGAAAAGGACTATGGGAAATAAATAAAATGTTTTAAATACATAAAAATGATTGTGCATGTGTACAATAGTTACTGAAGAAATGTTTTTGAATATACACTATCTGACAAAAGTCTTGTCACCCATCCAATTTTTAGGAACAGCAAATAATAACTTGACTTCTAGTTGATCATTTGGTATCAGAAGTGGCTTATATGAAAGGCAAAGGCCTCTAGATTACACTTATTTTTCCAAAATAAAATATGATCATGTCTTATTTGTAATGATTAAATCAGGACAGTGAGGTCTGACTTTGTTTAGACAAAAGTCTTGTCACTGAACAGAAATAATGTCCAGTCTAGAATATAAAGTCCTGCTGCAGTGGAAACAGAATGAATATTGTGTCTGACTCCATCATGAGCTTGGAGGACTGCATCCATACATCTCTGACATGACTCACATCACTGATTAATAAAGTCATCTGGAACGGCAAAAAAAGTGTTCTTGCAGGACTCCTAGAGTTCATCAAGATTCTTTAGATTCATCTTCAATGCCTCCTCCTCCATCTTACCCCAAGCATGCTCAATAATGTTCATGTCTGGTGACTGGGCTGGCCAATCCTGGAGCAGCTTGACCTTCTTTGCTTTCAGGATTATTGATGTAGAGGCTGAAGTATGAGGAGCGCTATCCTGCTGAAGAATTTGCCCTCTCCTGTGGTTTATAATGTAATGGGCAGCACAATTGTCTTGACACCTCAGGCTGTTGATGTTGCCATCCACTATGCAGATCTTTTGCATGACCCCATACTAAATTTAACCCCCAACCATGATTTTTCCTTCACCAAACCCTTATGTCTTGGGTCTATGTGGCTTCCAGTAGGTATTCTGCAGTATTTGTGATGATTAGGATGCAGTTCGACAGATGATTCATTAGAAAAGAGTTTTGTGAGGCAGTGTACTTCTCTAATAACTCTGAGATGGTTTTATCCAGACTGGGCATTTAACATTTGATTTAAATTAGCTAGATCATGCACTATCATATGTTTCTCTTTGGTTCTTCTGCTTTCTTGAAATGATTTTGTGGGTTCAACAAGCTAATTTAATCTTCGTTTAAAGTTTGCTAATGTATTAGTAGTGTGTTTCTGTGGAGACGCACATACTTGAGCTGAAAAAAAATCCTAATACGTCATCAGAGTGGGTGGTAGATGGGTTGGTCAGTCTGATCCAGATTCTGTATAAATGAAAGAACAAAAAGGAGAGTAGAACAAACTCCTAACAGGAGGAGACTCACTCATGGCCTATGAGACAGAGCATCAGGAGACTCAATACTGCTTTCCTGACATCAACTCATCATGTATCAAGGAGAGACGCTCCAGTCATGGATATATCATCATCTATGTGTTTGTGTCATTGCTGTCAGCATGGACTGTGTTTCTGAACCTGCTGGTGATCATCTCCATCTCACACTTCAAGAAGCTTCACACTCCAACCAACATGATTATTCTCTCTCTGGCTGTGACTGATCTGCTTATTGGACTCGTCATGCCTGTAGAGGCCATCAGACTGATTGACAAGTGTTGGTATTTTGGAAACACTTTCTGTGGACTCTATATGTTATTTGTGTCATTACTTGTCACAGTATCTCTTGGTAATTTAGTTTTAATTGCTGTTGATCGTTATGTGGCTGTGTGTCACCCTCTACTGTACCCACAGAGAATAACCATCACCAAAACATTAGTGAGTATCTGTCTGAACTGGGTTTGCTTCTCGGCATATTGCACTGCCCTTATAATTAACAATAGTTTCTTTGACACTCAGACTGATGTGTGTTACGGGCAGTGTTTAGTCATGGTAAGTTTTGGCTGGATAGCAACTGATCTGTTCATATCTTTTATTTTTCCTTGTTTGCTGATCATCTCTTTATATTTGAGGATTTTCTATGTCGTTCATCAGCAAGTGAAGGTTATAAACTCTCTGATGAAGGGTGGTAAATGTGTAACGGAGGGTTCAGTGAAGAGGAAATCTGAGAGTAAAGCTGCTCTGACTTTAGGAATCATTGTGTCTGTTTTTCTGCTTTGCTATATCCCATATTATATCTGTTCTCTAACTGTAAACTCTTCCACAGCTTTGAATGTTTTAGTATGGGTTTTGTATGCTAATTCAGGTCTGAATCCTCTGGTTTATGCTTTATTTTACTCCTGGTTTAAGAAGACAGCTAAACTCATTATAACTCTGAAAATACTTCATCCGGCATCCTCTCTGATCAATTTTGTTTCACAACATTAATTAGAATTACTTGCAAAGCTGTCACTAACAAAGGTAGACATGATAATCGTTGATTTCCATTTGTAGTTTCTACTAAAAAAGAAGAGCCCTAGGAAGAAAAAAGCAGAGCTGACGGCAGTGAAAGACAAGAGGAGCAGGCCTCAGATACTTCATGTTGCAGTTATTCTTGTTGTATGTATGCAGCAGTTGTCCATGAAGGGCTGCAGAATGCATTTATTTCGCTGTTTGTATACGTTTTTACAATTTTAATTAAGTTTAGTTTGTGTATATCACTCGGGGGTTGGCCAACTGAAACCTTTACAAAACAAATCATGTGATATGATCGATAAAACTGTCAAGACAGGATCATTATTAATGAAGATGCATTAACGTTTACAGTAAACAAGCTGTTTCACCTTGTAATCCCTAAGCTGAAGCTCATTTCAAAGTGTGTTTGATTTAAGTGCCTTCTGTACTGATGAAAATACATAGTAAAGATATGTGACTGACAACTAATGTAAGCAGTCACTAGTAAAGTCAGCTTGCTCAGTACCTAATATTTATATAAGCCAAATGTTAATATTTATAATATCTAAAGGCACTGTGGTGTACAAACACTGCACGTTAAACCACTTGCTCAGTTATAATGAATTTGACACTTGCTCTTTTTGCATCCCAATTAATACACTAGTAATTCCTACATGTTAGCAGGCCCGGATTGGCTAATCGGGAGGACCGGGAGAATTCCCGGTGGGCCGGTCCGTTTTTTGGCCGCGAGGGCTGGTGTCCCTAGCTCCAGAATCTGTTGCTCTCAGCAATCACACATTTAAATTTATTTATTTACTTGACCACAGCCTTTTTATTCATTATTATACCGCAACTCTTCTCTTTTGATCTATTTTAATGATGATAAAACTCAGTTGTGTCATCATCCATAAAACAGTCGTTGTGGTCGAGCGGATAGCACATTAGGTTAAGACGCCGCGGACCCGGGTTTGATCCTTGTTAGAGTAATTTAGTGGTTTCATTTTTATTGATAAGACATATAATACTGTTAGGATTGTTGAACATTTGAAGTTCTAAAGCAGCTGTTTTCTCAAAAAAAAAAAAAGACGTGATAGTGTCATTAGAAACTGATTTGGAAATATTTAATTATTTACTTATTTTAATATAGTCAGTCGTGAACTGAGGTGGGCCGGTCTGAGACTTGAAACTCCAGAGCTGAAAAGGTGTCCCACTCCGGCCCTGCATGTTAGCATCACCTGCGCAGCTCACCTGTCTCCAGCCCAAAACAAAGAGCTGACGACAGTGAAGGACAAGAGGACCAGGCCTCAGGCACTTTATGATACTGTTCTGCTTATATTTATGCTGCAGACCAGTCCTTTTCGGAAACACAGCAATGCTACTTCACCAAGCTCTTGTCATTTCAAGACTGGACTACTGCAATGCTTTTCAGCAGATCTTTAAACCAGCAAAACTAAACCTGATCCAGAACACAAAAGGAGTTGTATCCCTGTAGTTGTGACTTTTGACCTTGTCAATTCTGTTTATGGAAACTAAACAACATAATGTCTCCAAATGGGCAATGGGCCCTATCATACACCAGGGACAATAAGATGTCTTTGGCATGATTTGCTGCTATTTTGAGATCAGCGCAACCCTAATTTTCACGTTTTGCACCATGTTGTGTAAATAGCAAATCCATTTGCACCACTTTTTGAACTCCTGGGTGTGCTGGTCTAAAAAGGAGGTGTGTTAAGGTGCATTTCTATTTCAAGTAACTTAAATAGACCGCGCCATTGACCAACTAAAAGCTGATCTAAAGTATGCAGGTCCAAACATTGCTGAATACACACAGGATGTACAGCAATACTGAAATATTCTGCCATTCTGGCATGCGCTGCGGCATATGCGCAAGTCCGATTTCCAGGCAGTCAGCAGGTGCTTTGAGCACAAAACCCCAGAGCAGTGCATGTCAGACAGTTTGTCAAGGATGTACTGCTGGATGGCGTCTCACTATAGTTGTTAAACGTGATATTTAATTAATCTAGTCTCTATCTAACAACTCTTCAGTCTTTTAAATCTATCAGGTAACACTGCCACGCGCCACGCTATTCGCGCATATTGCGCCACAGGATGTCTAATCGCACGTTTGCATTGACTTACAGGAGACGTGAATTGTGTCAAATGATTCAGCTCTACCGGTTCACCTAAAAGATTCGATTAAAAAATTTGTTTGCAATCGAGATACATAAATAAAACCCAATAATGGGCACAAATGTGTTAAAGTAATAGTTTTAAGTCTCTGTATTTAATGATGTCATCGTGCTGCTGTCATGTCCACTTGTTGTTTTTGTCGCAGGAGCAACAGCAAGGATGACCGGAGGAGAGCAAGCTCAATCCAGCCAATGGCTGCAGAATATTCGCCCCGCTTAAACTGAACTCTTGGAATTTTAAATTTACTGGATTAGTTTTGTTTTCAGTGAGGAGCATATCTGTAATGTATTGAGGTCCCAGGCCATTTAGTAATTTATAGACAAGTAGTAATACTTTAAACTCTATTCTGAATGTAACTGGGAGCCAGTGTAAAGACCTGGACAGGTGTGATGTGCCCAGGGCCGGCGCGTCCATTGAGGCGACCTAGGCGGCAGTATAGAGAGAGCGGCGTCCGCGATACCTCCCTTACCACCCACATCCTCAGTTATGTCCGCGACACCTCCCTCACCACATGCATCCTCAGATATATTCGCGCATAGACGACAGAATAGAGAGGGCGGCGTCAGCGACACCTCAGTCAGCACCCGCGTGTCTTCAGTTATATCCACGCATAGGGCGGCAGAATAGAGGCCCGCGACACCCGCGCATCTTCAGTTATATCCTCGCATAGGGCGGCAGAATAGAGGCCCGCGACACCCGCGCATCTTCAGTTATATCCTCGCATAGGGCGGCAGAATAGAGAGGGCGGTGTCCGCGACACCTCCCTCCCTGCAACAGCACCCGCGCGTCCTCAGTTATATCCGCGCATAGGGGCGGCAGAAAAGAGGTCTGCGACACCTGACTTCATTTTCATAACCAGTCACTTTCGTTTTAGTTTTTGGTTGAGGGCAGCGTGATCGTTCGCTGCCTAGAGCGGCATTTCACCTTGCTCCGGCCCTGGATGTGCCCTGATTTCTTGGTTCTGGTCAGAATTCTGAGCTGCAACTGTCAGGCTGTCTTTTTGGGAAGGCCAATGAGGACACTGTTACAGTAATCCACCCTGCTGCTGATAAAAGCATGAACAGGTTTTACAGTCTTCACTGGAGACAAAGCATTTAACTCTTGCAATGTTTTGATATGATTATATGCTGATTTAGTTACTGCTTTAACATAACTACTAAAGCTCAGATCTGACTCCAGAATAACACTCTTGACCTTATTTTTTATTGTTTGACCTCTAGAGCCAAGAAATTCGGAAACCAAAACATATTAAAATGGTAGAGGCAAGGCTTTTTTCTCTTTTTGCTTTCTTTAGATGTACATTTTTCATTTAGTCATCGATTACGGTTTTGCAGCGTTTAGTTTTGAACTTAATTTATTATAATCTTTTGCATGTGTTGAAGCTGATTTTTTTGTTGTTAAACCGACGAGAGAATTAAAGCAATAGTGCAATAGGATGTTTTATACTGAAAAGTTTTTTATACGTAAACCACCTTTTTTAGGAATTTAACAGTTGGATTTTTGTTGCAGAAAACAGACATGGCAGAACACTCAAGCCTGTGTATTATCATCAGCGTCATTATTTATTATTGGACATTCATCCTAATCCTCATCCTAACTTCCTATTTAGGTGGTCGGGTGAAGGGTTCTTTTGTTATTTAAGAATTTGTGGGCCTACATTTGAGTTTTTGCTTTATGTGCCTGCAGAGTAAACCACATTTTGATCGAATCCAAAAAGGAATTCACTTAAATGAGCTCCAGCGCTACAGTGAATTGAAAAAGATGAATGATTTACAGCAGCTGATTAAAACATCTAAAGTTATTGTTTTTTAGATGAAATTTACGTTTGAACAGCAGCAGAAAACGCAACCTGGACTGAATAAATGGAATTAATTTTAAAGATAATGTGCAAAAAAAGAAAGTCTTTTTTTTTTTTTTTTTAATAAATTGCATCAGAGTGGGCGGTAGATGGGCTGGTCAGTCTGATCCAGACACTGTATAAATGAAAAGACAGAAAGGAGAGCAGAACAAACTCCTGACAGGAGGAGACTCACTCATGGCCTACGAGACAGAGGATCAGGAGACTCAATACTGCTTTCCTGACATCAACTCATCATGTGTCAAAGAAAAACACTCAAGTAATGGATATATCATAATTTATTTGTTTGCATCATTGCTGTCAGCATGGACTGTGATTCTGAACCTGCTGGTGATCATCTCCATCTCTCACTTCAAGAAGCTTCACACTCCAACCAACATGATTATTCTCTCTCTGGCTGTAAATGATCTGTTTATTGGACTTGTCATGCCTGTAGATGCCATCAGAGTAATTGAGACGTGTTGGTACTTTGGAGACACTTTCTGTGGACTCTATTTATTATTTATTTCATTGCTTCTCCCAGCATCTCTTGGTAATTTAGTTTTAATTGCTGTTGATCGTTATGTGGCTGTGTGTCACCCTTTACTGTACCCACAGAAAATAAGCATCTCTAAAGCATTCATGAGCATCTGTCTGAACTGGGTTTGTTTATCAGCATATAACACTGCCTTTATAATTAATAATGGATTTTTGGACACTTCTCAGAGAACAGATGTGTGTTATGGACAGTGTTCATTCACAGTAAGTTTTAGTTGGATGCTCACTGATCTGTTTGTGTCCTTCATTTTTCCTTGTATGCTTATCATCACTTTATATTTGAGGATTTTCTATGCTGTACATCAGCAAGTGAAGGTTATAAACTCTCTGATGAAGGGTGGTAAATGTGTAATGAAGAGTTCAGTGAAGAGGAAATCTGAGCGTAAAGCTGCTCTGACTTTAGGAATCATTGTGTCTGTTTATCTGCTTTGCTATATTCCATACTGCATCTGTTCTCTAACTGGAGTCTCTGCCTCAACTAAAAATGTTTTAATGTGGATTTTGTATGCTAACTCAGGTGTGAATCCTCTGGTTTATGCTTTATTTTACCCCTGGTTTAAAAAGACAGCTAAACTCATCTTAACTCTAGAAATATTTCAGTCGGTGTCCTCACTTATCAACATTTTTACAGAAAATTAATTTGAGTTATTTGCAACGCTGTCACTATAAATATAGATGTGATCAGGTATATTTGAATTCTATTTGTCTGTCAAAATAGCTTAACATATATAGAGAAGAGATAATTAAAAGCAATAACAATATAGCAGATTGTAGAACATTCCAGCAAGTCAGGAAGGTTGGCGAATGTTTATGTAGTTCAGTCAAGCAATTATGTAGCACACATGTAATATGTATGCAAATTAGTTTGGGGGATGAAATTATGCTTCTCTCTTTGCTTTGTACTTAATATTTCTTTATTTCATATCGATATTAAATGTCACAGCTGAATGATTAAATAAACACTGGTACTAAATCCACCTGCTCACTGATGACAAACTTGCCCTTTTTACATACCAAAAGTGAATGTTGAAGTGTTGAACTGTTTCCACCAGCTTAATTTATAAGTGCAATTCTCCTCATGGCCACTCCAGACCAGCTCATTGGTACTTCATCTATCATTAAAAATACATATTGTTTTATTGTAATTGTGTTGAGTGTTGTGTGTCTAAGGCCCCATTTAGACTGTCAGGTCTTGATGCCCAATTACAATTTGTTGCCTATATCAGACTTTTTTCCTGTCCATTTAAACATTCTTTTATTTTATGTATTCATTTTTATTCATTTATAATATTTAAACAGGAAAAGATTAAAAGATATTCAGGCCCGACTCAGCATAAATGCTGTTTTTCAGCAGGTTCCTGCTTTGCAGAACATAAAAACAGACAGACATCTCATCCATCAACACCGCACAAACAATGGGTAATTGTCACCCATATCCGATTCATGTGTTTACACTTGCCATACAATTTACGATGTTGTGCATGTGTAAAGGCAGGTTCTAGCATCTGCACCACACTATCAACACATGATCTTCCTTCTATGTCATTAAACCATGGAGAAGTACCACATTGTCGCAAGTTTAATGACGTAGAAAACAGAATGCCTCAATAAATCCGGTCTACCTGTTTACATGATAGTCACATTGTCACATATCCGATATACATCTGATATATTTCCACACATAAAGGAGGTCTGAAACCGGTCTCTGAATATCCGAATATGTGTGTGTTTTTTTTTTTTTTTCTGTGTTTACGCGGTCATAGAACAGATCCGATCTGTGTCACATATAAGCAAAAAAAAAAAAAAATAAAAAAAATGGAATTGGGTCACATATGGAGAAAAATGAATTTTAATTAGTTGTGTCTTTATTTTTTATCAGAAAAATGTTAAGTCTAACGACAGATTAATCAATCTTTTTTAATTTGTATGATACCATGTATTACCCAAACATACTTCTTTTTTACTGTGTTGCATACTTTTCAGAAGGAACTGCTGACAAGAGGGACATAGCAGAATAACAATAAATATAGTGCGGGGGCTCTTGCTCCAGACTGCTGCTAATAAAAAGTCTATACATGTCACAAAGAGCATGATGCTTGCAGAAGTTGTGAAATATATTGAAGATGCACTTAATTGTTCAGTTCTGGTATGCAGAGAAGGGTCACAGAAAAGAGGAAGTATGTCTGGGTGCAACACTCAAAGGATTGCAGAATGACTGATTAGTGTTGTTACACCAAGACATGTTACAATAATTCTAATTAAATGTGTTATGGTGCTTTCTCACCTAGACCTTTGTTTCAGAACCTGGTGCGTTTCCCCAGTTAGCGCAGTTCGTTTGGCAATACAGCAATCTAAAACAATAGGTCTGAGATTGCCTGAATCAGGTGGTCTCGGCTTGATTGAAACAAACTCTGGAGCGGATCGGTTGTAAGAAAGCAATACGATCCGAGCAAGGCCATATCACAGTTTATTATGGATATGTAAAAGGCATAAATACGGCTATATGAAGAGAGAATTATGAGAAGGGCGGGATGTCATTCCTACCAGTAAATGTGCGTTTAATGTCAAATATGAAAGTGAAAGCATGTTAACTAATAATGACAGCTGTTCATTCGTGAGGAACATTGACCAACTGCAGTCTTAATTTATCTGTTATTCCTCTATATATGCCTATAATGCATAAGCTAACTGCTCTATATTTAGTGACGATGCCTGTGGGTGTCACCATTCGAAATGAAAGCCCAGCTTACCGTTGATAATGTCTCATTGCTCATCGTCATAAATTAAATAAGGACGCATGACAGCTGAGCGGGACTCTGCAAAATAAACCGTGAAACTCTGACAAATGTGAGTTGTTTTAGCTATTTTGGTCCATTTAGAAATTAAAGAACAAAGAGCAACAGTGTAACAATTTTATTTCCTGTTTTGGAACAAGAGAGTTGATGCACAGGTGTAAAAGCACCCTTAATATCAAAGGAAACATACATACCATACATTTTTTGTATAGTTCAGTTTTTTTTTTTTCATCTTAAAAAAAGGGTCCCTCAGGAAGTACTGTTATAGGTTACCATATGTCAACGTCAACCAGTTAACATTTCATCCAAAATCTTTCTTTTTGGTTTTTATGCTTTCTTTATATACAGCAGTAGCTGTAGGCAGATTCAGCCTGCTTTGACTGAACTCTTTGAATTCTGTATTGAATAATGTATTGAGGTCCTAGGCCATTTAGTGATCTATAAACAAGTAATAATACTTTCAAAAGTGGGAGCCAGTGTAAAGACCTGAGGACAGATTTGATATGCCCTGATTTTCTGGTTCTGGTCAGAATTCGGAGCTGCAACTGTCTGGCTGTCTTTTTGGGACGGCCAGTGAGGAGTCCATTACAGTAATCCATTCTGCTGCTGAAAAAAGCATGAACAAGTTTCACAGTCTTCACTAGAGACAAAGCATTTAACTCTTGCAATGTTTTGAGATGATAGTATGCTGATTTAGTTACTGCTTTGACATAACTACTGAAGCTCAGATCTGACTCCAGCATGTGTTGAAGCTGAATTCTTTGTTGCTAAACTGACAAGAGAATTAAAGCAATAGTGCAATAGGATGTTTTATACTGTAATGTTTTTTAATACCTAAACCATTTTTTTCAGAATGTAACAGTTGGATTTTTGTAGCAGAAAACCTGCAGAAGGCCTGCAAGATGAAGAGAAATCAAATTTATCATTATCCACATCATCATTTATTATTGGACATTCATCTAAATCCTCATTTTAAATTCCTATTTACAGTAGGTGGTCGGGTGAAGGGTTCTTTTGTTATTTAAGAATTTGTGGGCCTGCATATGAGTTTTTGCCTTTTGTGCCTGCTGAGTAAACCACATTTTAATACAATCCACAAAGGGATTCACTTAAATGAGCTCCAGCACTACAGTGAATTTAAAAAGATGAATGATTCAAAGCAGCTGATTAAAACAACTAAACTGAAATTTACGTTTGAACAGCAGCAGAAAACTCAACCTGGACTGAATAAATGGATTTAATCTTAAAGATAATGTGCAAAACAAAGAAAGTGTTTTTTAAAAATAAATTGCATCAGAGTGGGCGGTAAATGGGCTGGTCGGTCTGATCGAGACACTGTATAAATGAAAGGACAGAAATGAGAGCAGAACAAACTCCTAACAGGAGGAGACTCACTCATGGCCTATGAGACAGAGGATCAGGAGACTCAATACTGCTTTCCTGCCATCAACTCATCATGTGTTAAAGGACGACACTCAAGTCATGGATATATCGCATATTTGCTTGTGTCATTGCTGTCAGCATGGACTGTGTTTCTGAACCTGCTGGTGATCATCTCCATCTCTCACTTCAAGAAGCTTCACACTCCAACCAACATGATTATTCTCTCTCTGGCTGTGACTGATCTGCTTGTTGGACTTCTCATGCCTGTAGAGGCCATCAGACTGATTGAGACATGTTGGTATTTTGGAGACACTTTCTGTGGACTCTATTTATTATTTGTTGCATTACTCCTTTCAGCATCTCTTGGTAATTTACTTCTAATTGCTGTTGATCGTTATGTGGCTTTATGTCACCCTTTACTGTACCCACAGAAAATAACAATCACTAAAACTTTAATGAGTATCTGTCTGTGCTGGTTTTGCATATCAGTTTATAACACTGCCCTTGTAATTAATAATGGGAATTTGGACACTTTAAACAGAAAGGATGAGTGTTATGGAGAATGTTTCCTCATGATAAGGTTTAGTTGGATAGTCATTGACCTATGTGTTTCATTATTTTTTCCTTGCACCGTGATCATTATATTATATTCCAGAATTTTCTGTGTTGTTCATCGGCAAGTGAAGGTTATAAACTCTCTGATGAAGGGTGGTAAATGTGTAATGAAGAGTTCAATGAAGAGGAAATCTGAGAGTAAAGCTGCTCTGACATTAGGAATAATCGTGTCAGTTTATCTACTTTGCTATATCCCATATTGTATCTGTTCTCTAACAGTCAACTCTTTGACAGTACTGAATGTCTTAATATGGCTTCTGTATGCTAGTTCAGGTCTGAATCCTCTGGTTTATGCTTTATTTTACTCCTGGTTTAAAAAGACAGCTAAAATCATTTTAACTCTGCACATATTTCAGCCGGCATCCTCTCTGATCAATATTTTTACAGAACATTAATTATAATTACTTCCAAAGCTGTCACTAATAAAGTCATATGAATATTTATATCTGTAATTTTCACCAAAGTTCATGAAACTCAATTAAAAATTGATGTTTGATTTAAGTAACTTCTGTGCTGTTTATATAAAAAGTAAATACAAATTCAATTTACCAGACTAGAAATTATTACCACATTATTATTATGCGGGTAAATTAGCTATAGGGAAAAGAGCTTATGTGGCTCACCTTGCTTTTTGCTTCAAGTCTTAATTCCTATATTAATGTTTTCATAATAATATTTAACACCATAAGGGGGTGTATTCTTCCAGAATTGATTTTGGTGTTCAAACCTGATCAAATCCACCTGCTCGTAGAAAATGAACTTGACATTTGCTGTGTCTCATAAGAAAACACAATGCTGAAGTGTTGAAATTCTACAGGCAACTTAATTCATGGACATAAATGTCTAATGGACACACCAGACCTGCTTATTAGAGCTTTTAATTTTATATGGCATTAAATAAGTATTAAATACGAGTGTTGTGTTGTGTTAATATTGAGCATCACACCTCTAGCCCAACAGAGGAGCTCCAGAAGGGGAAAAAAAAGGAGAGCTGATGACAGTGAAGGACGAGAGGAGCAGGCCTCAGCAACTTTATGATGCTCTTCTGCTTATATTAGTGCAGCAGCTGTCTAGAAAGCTCTGCTATTGTTAATTAAATTTTGTTGTTTATTTGTTTTAGGATTAAATCTAAGTTGTATTAATTGTTTGCTAGTTCATGAACTATCGACTTTGTTTCTGCATCGTTATATTAGTTATCACAATAGAGAAAATATATCTATATATAATGACATAAACTACATTGTGTTTGTTCTACTAGTTTGAAAAATAAAACTCATAAAATACAAATCAGGAGTGATAATGATCATGAGCAGAGAGGATAGTGATAATAAAGACATATTTTAATTGCACTCATTATAATGTTATATCTGAGGATTTTCTAGGTCGTTCATCAGCAAGTGAAGGTTATAAACTCTTTGATGAAGGGTGGTAAATGTGTAACGGAGGGTTCAGTGAAGAGGAAATCTGAGAGTAAAGCTGCTCTGACTTTAGGAATCATTGTGACTGTTTATCTGCTTTGCTATATTCCTTTCTGTATCTGTTCTCTAACTGTAAACTCTTCCACAATTCTAAATGTTTTAATATGGGTTTTGTATGCTAACTCAGGTCTGAATCCTCTGGTTTATGTGTTATTTTACTCTTGGTTTAAAAAAGACAACTACACTTACTTTAACTCTGAAAATATTTTTACAGAACATGAATTATAATCTCTAGCAAAGCTGTCACTATAATACATATAATAACATTTGATTTCTCTTTGTAATTTTCACTACTCGTGTTATACAATATTACAGAGCTTATTTCAATCTGTAAGTTTGATGTTAAAAGGGCCATGAAACCCCCTTGTTTCAGCAGGGTTTTTTGACACCTCTACTTTGGAAAAAGTCAGGAAAGTGGGCGCGTCCAGCTCTGTTTAGGGGGAGTGTCAGAGGAGGGGAAGAGGGAAGGTCCGTAAAAATTTGCATAAAAATGGGAGTGTCGGTTTGGGCACATGCTAATTTTCACACACTTCCACATTTATTTTTCATAAAGTAACAGAAGGACTTTTAATAGCAGATAATTCCATTCAAGCACATTCAAGGCAGCATCATAATAAGAAATGTAATTTACTGTTCGTATTATTGTCAGTTTCGTCATCATTAATATTTAATAATTATTAGACATTCATTATGGATTTATTGCACAAAATATCAATCAGTCATCACAGCATTTTTTAGATAGTTGTTCCTGATTTTTGTTATTCCTAATTGATGTTGTTTACAAATACAATAAATCCCTTAATATACAATTTGCAGTGGTGCTGCTCATTCATTTTTGCTGGGTGCTCCTTAATTTTTTTTTGTTGCTACCAAATTTTTTCTGGTGCTCCTAAATTTTTTTTTTTCTGGTGCTCCTCATTTTTTTCTAGTGCTCCTAAATTTTTCTGATGCTCCTAAATTTTTTCTGGTGCTAATAAATTTTTTCTAGTGCTCCTAAATATTTCTGATGCTCCTAATTTTTTTCTGGTGCTCGTACTTTTTTTCTAGTGCTCTTAAATATTCTCTGGTGCTCCTAATTTTTTTCTGGTGCAACAAAGTTTTTTTCTTGTGCTCCTAAATATTTTAAGTTGGGAGCAGTGGTGCTACCAAGTGAAAAAGCTCATTTCAAGCTAATTTTTGGGCGGGATAAAGACCAAAAAAAAAAATTGCCTGCAAGCCGCTACAATAATTTATTCATTGATTACATCAGAGTAGGTGGTAGATGGGTTGGTCATTCTGATCCAGACACTGTATAAATGAAAGGACAGAAAGGAGAGCAGAACAAACTTGAAACAGACTCGCTCATGGCCAATGAGACAGAGGATCAGGAGACTCAATACTGCTTCCCTGACATCAACTCATCATGTGTGAAGGGGCTGCTCTCTAATCATGGATATATCATCACATATGTGTTTGCATCATTGCTGTCAGCATGGACTGTGTTTCTGAACCTGCTGGTGATCATCTCCATCTCTCACTTCAAGAAGCTTCACACTCCAACCAACATGATTATTCTCTCTCTGGCTGTTACTGATCTGTTTATTGGAGTTGTCATGCCTGTAGAGGCCATCAGACTGATTGAGACGTGTTGGTATTTTGGAGACACTTTCTGTGCACTTTATTTATTATTTGTTGAATTACTTCTATCAGCATCTCTTAGTAATTTAGTTTTAATTGCTGTTGATCGTTATGTGGCTGTGTGTCACCCTTTACTGTATCCACAGAAAATAACCATCACTAAAACACTAATGAGTATCTGTCTGAGCTGGGCTTGGCTCTTAGCTTATATCGTTGCCCCTGTAATTAATAGTAGACATTTTTACACTTCACATGGAACAGATGAATGTTATGGAGAGTGTTTAGTCCTCATCAGTTTTAGTTGGACAGTCACTGATCTGTTCATGTCTTTTATTTTTCCTTGCACTGTGATCATAATGTTATATTCAAGGATATTTTTTGTCGTTCATCAGCAAGTGAAGGTTATAAACTCTCTGATGAAGGGTGGTAAATGTGTAACAGAGGGTTCAGTGAAGAGGAAATCTGAGAGTAAAGCTGCTCTGACTTTAGGAATCATTGTGACTGTTTATCTGCTCTGCTGGATTCCTTATTATATCTGTTCTCTAACTGTTATCTCTTCCACAATTATAAATGTTTTAATATGGTTTTTGTATGTTAACTCAGGTCTGAATCCTCTGGTTTATGCTTTATTTTACCCCTGGTTTAAAAAGACAGCTAAACTCATCTTAACTCTGAAAATATTTCAGCCGGCGTCCTCTCTGGTCAATATTTTTAAAGATCATTAGTTATAATCACTAGCAAAGCTGTCGCTAGTATAAAATTAATTATGTTTGTTTTCTCTTTGTAATTTTCACCACTCATGTCATACATTACTGCACATAGCTTATTTCAAGCTGTAAATAACTTCTGATGTACTGCTTGGAAAACAAAATAGCAGCAGAACAAAATTCACAGCAGTACATCATAAGTTACTTAGAGATCAAACTTACAGGTTCAAATAAGCTATGTGTAGTAATGTATGACACAAGTGGTGTGAAAGTTGTGTCCTTTATTAACTGTGTGAATTAGGTATGAGGGAGGCTGGTTGTAACTCCTTTATGCTTAATCCCATATAATAGCATTAATACTATTTATAACTGTCATGAAAACTGTGTTTGCAAGCAACAAACATTGTTACCAAAATCATCAGTTCATTGATAATGAACTTTATATCTGTTTTTTAATCTAAAATAACTTATGTTGTGTTGTGTCTGAGAGTGGTGTGAGCAGAATGAGGTCAGTGGAATAAGTGATAAGAATCACCTGTGCAGCACAGCTGTCTCCAGCACAGCAAATGGAAATTTTACATGCAAACTAAATTATTAGTTACAACCAATCTAAGCCCGGTTTCACAGACATAGGCTCAGAATAAACCTGGATCAGGCCATAGTTCAATTAGAACATTTAAGTGTGTTTTTCTAATAAATATGCCTTAGAAAAAAAAAAAAAAACACTGGTTGCCACATGAAGACAAAACAACCATCAGTGCATGTTTCTCACAGCTCAAATTTACATGTGTGTCTGGATTTAGACTGAAGCCTTGTTTGTGAAACCAGGAACTATAGTGTGATTACACTATGATTACTACATTTACAAGAACATCAGTAATCAAATTATTTACCTTAATCTGAATAAGACAATATATTTAAGGCGTTTAATAGTTGATATGGGGTATATAATATAAGGTGTTTAATATACATACACAAATATGTATACATACACATACATATAATGACGACAAAAAGTCTTGATGGAAAGCCGAGGAGGAATTTGAAGGAAAGTTTTGTTTTTTTTACATTGTTTTGCTAAGGGTCTACTCGCACCATGCTATCCAAACCATGCCCAGGCTCGTTTCCCGGATCGTTTGAGAAGTGTGAGTGCTCTGAATTGAGCTCAGGCATGGTTCACTTGGCCGGCCCTGGCGTAGTTGGAAGAGGTGTGCCAGAGCATGGTTCACTTGGGCTTTGGCGCGGTACGCTTGTGTGTGAGTGCAAAATGCGCCTAAACTCAAAACTGAAAGCGAAGCGTGACTTTTATGGGACTGTGTCATATGGATTGATTAATCATTCTTACTGTTCAGAGAACGCAAACTGTTGCAGTTTATTAAAGACGCAAATCCCTCACTGCACGACAGCTGCACCTTCAGCAAACCTCCTAATTCCTGCAGCACGAGTACTCTATTGTTGTTTATGAGCGTCAAAAGTGGCTGATCTGTTTGGTTAAAATATTTGACTGCGTGTCACTGCATATCAAACAACTTAAACGATATAACTAAAGAAATCTCCACTGTGCTGAGCGAGAGCGCTTACTGAACAGCGCAGCATCGATGACGTAATTGTGCCCAGGCCGAATATAATGTGAGTGCGGGCCGTCGGTGAAGATGGGACGGGGGACAAGTGTGCTTTGGCCTGGTTTGAGTGTAACGGAGACCAGCTAGTGTGTGCTGTGCAGGTAAACCTCACTCCTCTGACCTCTAAAGGTGCTCTAGCGACAGATGCTAGAGGCCATGGTCTTTAGCCTCCTTGTTAGAGCAACCGACTCCCATGCGGAAGGTCGCCGGTTCGATTCCAGCTCGGAGTGGGTTGGGCGGTGTAGGACCGGTGGGGTTACACTAGTACGGTCTAAATGTTAGATTTGAGAAATCTCAGATACTTTTGTGCATCCACATGGACAATGCAAGCATCTACATCCACACCTCATGGAGTGAGAATGTGGGAAAAGCTCTCTCCCACACTCCCTTCCCCTACTCTTCCCACTCACCCAACTCACAGAAAAGTCATCTTAACTCACAGAATAGTCATCTCAAAGAATAAATGTTCTGTATCAATGCAAGTGACTTTCTGCATCATCTTTGATATCATTCGAAATGTCTCAGTGAGACAGGTACAATGGTCTCATTCTCAATGAAATAGTCATAATATAAGAAAACATTTTAAACTTTAGGTATCTTTGATCCACTGCAGAAGGGGTGTCATTTGTCAGGGTGCTCTATCCAAATTACCTCCTGATTCCCACAGCAGGTGGGTTCCCATTGTTGTTTCAGACACCCCCACTTGAAGAATGTTTTACTATGGGTTGACTATTTAGGCAAAACCTGTCAAGAAGCTCAGGGTGATTCTGCAGCCAGATCAGCCCATAGTATAGAGCCCTCATGGTCTAAACCAGTTGTTCTCAAAGTAGGGGTCGGGACCCCTAAAGTGGCCGCAGAACAATGAAGGGGGGCGTTGCCTGGTGATTTCCAAAAATGTACATATTTTTATTAAACCATTGGAATGACCATATTTTATCCATAACCAACTGAAGAGAAACAAAATAGTCGTTCATAGTTACTATATACTATATAGTTAATATAGTAGCTTATAATTACTAGTTCTATTGGATTGCGACACCTGGGATAATCACATTATATTAAAGACACAGCAAGGGCGTCAGATGTAGCAGATTGATTTTATAACATCAGGGTAAACTTTCTGACACATTTACAGCACTAACAAAGAATAGACTTGGGTCTATTGGTGTGTGTGCACTATTGCATGCAGGATTTCACTATTAATAACCACCTCAGAGGATATTGGGGGACAACTGGCATTGTCATTTTGGGGGTTGCGGGCTGAAACGTTTGGGAACCCCTGTTCTATACTATGTATATTTTGAAGTCAAGTATGCATCTTTGGATCTTAGATTTATTTTTGAGAATTTGATGTCTTGTATCGATCGTTAATGAATTGAGTGACTAATTGGCCTAATCTGTATACCTGACTATTAAATTATGTTTGAAAGCATTCTGCTTACTCTGTAATTATTCATTATAGTAGATTATGCTAAATCCTTGTTTCCGAACTTCCTGCGTCAGGTCAGTAGACGGACTAAAGTCCAGTTGAGAAGGAGCATTGGGCACACTAATTAAATTTTAGAGATCTGACTGACTCTTGATATTGATTTAAGTGTACTTAGGTCGAAAAGAGTTATTTTTCATCTAGGGTAACAATATGTTGCTCAACTAACCTAGATAGGGTGCCTGACCCTTGTTTGAAAGTAGTGTACTACTAAATGAAGTGTACATGGGAAACCATGAGCTTGGCTAAACCAGATTTATTATAGCAAACAATAGTCGGTTACAATTTTAATAATGGCCTTGACCTCTGATTAGAAGTAATATTAGTTTTAACTCAAGAGTGTACATCTAAGATAGGGCTCAGGAACCTTTTTTCAGTAAAGAGCCAATTTGTGTGTGTGTGTGTGTGTGTGTGTGTGTGTGTGTGTGTGTGTGTGTGTGTGTGTGTGTGTGTGTGTGTGTGTGTGTGTGTGTGTGTGTGTGTGTGTGTGTGTGTGTGTGTGTGTGTGTGTGTGCGTGTGCGCGCGTGCGCAGTCATTTTTGTAATGTTTTTTAAAGGAAAATCAATCAGTTCATCAAGGCTACATTTATTAAATGTAAAAAAGTAAAATCGTTAAATATTTATTAAAAATGTAAATAACTGATTTCTTATTGTATGTAGCTTCAAATAAAATTATTATTCCAGCCATTATTGCTTTTATTACTATTACTATTAATAACAATAACTTTAATAAAAAATGATAACAACAATAATTAATATTAGTGATTTCTGAAGGATCATGTGACTCTAAAGACTGGAGTAATGAAGCTGAAAAGTCATCTTTAAATTCACTGGTCAAATGATTAAATTAAATGATGAACTACTTTTGAACTGTTATTTTATACTGCAACATTTCATAATTTTGCTGTATTTATGATTAACTAAATGTAGCCTTGGTGAGGAGAAGAAGCTTATTTACAGCAAAATACAGTAAGATTTACAGTAGCTGATTAGAGCAACTGAACACATTCCTGAGAAAAACTTTAGATTTGAACAATGGCAGAAAACCCTAAAGAGTAATGTGTTTGAATGTTTTACAAAGAGAGGGAAAGTTTTTTTTTTTTTTTTTTTTTTTTTTTGATAGATTACATCAGAGTGGGCGGTAGATGGATTGGTCAATTGATTTAACATTAATTCAATCCAGACCAAAGGAGCCACTTTGGATTTGGGGATAAAGATTTACAGCAGCTGATTAAACAAACTTTACATTCAAACAGCAGCAAAAAAAAACTCAATTAGTAATGTATTTAAAATCCAATGTTCAACAAAGAGAAGGAAGGCCTTTTTTTTTTTTTTTTTGATAGATTACATCAGAGTGGGCGGTAGATGGGTTGATCAGTCTGATCCAGACACAGTATAAAATGTATGAAATGTATGAAAGGACAGAAAGGAGAGCAGAACAAACTCCTAACAGGAGGAGACTCACTCATGGCCTATGAGACAGAGGATCAGGAGACTCAATACTGCTTTCCTGACATCAACTCATCATGTGTCAAGAGGAGAAGCTCCAGTCATGGATATATCATCATATATGTGTTTTTGTCATTGCTGTCAGCATGGACTGTGTTTCTGAACCTGCTGGTGATCATCTCTATCTCTCACTTCAAGAAGCTTCACACTCCAACCAACATGATTATTCTCTCTCTGGCTGTAACTGATCTGCTTATTGGACTCATCATGCCAGTGGAGGCCATCAGACTGATTGAGACATGTTGGTATTTTGGAGACACTCTCTGTGAACTTTATTTATTATTTGTTGATTTACTTATCTCAACATCTCTTAGTAATTTAGTTCTAATTGCTGTTGATCGTTATGTGGCTGTGTGTCACCCTTTACTGTATCCACAGAAAATTACCATCACTAAAACACTAATGAGTATCTGTCTGAGCTGGGTTTGTTTATCAGCTTATATCATTGCCATTGCGATAAATAATAGATATTTTGACACTTCACACAGAACAGATGTGTGTTACGGAGAGTGTTTAGCCATTATAAGTTTTAGTTGGACAGTCACTGATCTGTTCATGTCTTTTATTTTTCCTTGCACTGTGATCATAATATTATATTTGAGGATTTTCTATGTCGTTCATCAGCAAGTGAAGGTTATAAACTCTCTGATGAAGGGTGGTAAATGTGTAACGGAGGGTTCAGTGAAGAGGAAATCTGAGAGTAAAGCTGCTCTGACTTTAGGAATCATTGTGACTGTTTATCTGCTCTGCTGGATTCCATACTATATCTGTTCTCTAACTGTAATGACTTCCACAGCTCTAAATGCTTTATTATGGGTTGTGTATGCTAGCTCAGGTCTGAATCCTCTGGTTTATGCTTTGTTTTACCCTTGGTTTAAAAAGACAGCTCAACTCATTTTAACTTTGAAAATATTTCAGACAGCATCCTCTCTGATCAATATTTTTACACAATATTAATAGCAACTACTTGCCAAGCTGGTTTGTAATGTAGATTTGATAATATTTGGTTTATCTTTGTAATTTTCACTACTCTTGTCATTTCACACAGAGCTTATTTCAACCTGTAAGTTTGATGTTTAAGTAACTTCTGGTGTACTACGGTGAAAACAAGATAAACATGTGACATAAATATCTTATAATAACTATGTGAATTTGACATGTTGTGAGGGTTGTGTGGTTTACCTTGCTCAGTGCTTAATCCCATTTAACAATATTCATAACTGCCATAAAAAAACAGTGTTTGCAAGCAAGAAACATTTTAGTTTTTTTTTTTTTACAAAATTCACCTTTTTATTGATAATGAACTTCACACTTGCATTCTCCACATCTGAAAAATGAATGTTAATTGTTGTAGTTTGAAACCACGGTCACAGTGCACTTTTTGCCCTAAAGACCTCCATTCATATGTATGCAAATGCAGCAGGCTGGAAACACAAGCTTGTGTGGCAGGTTTCCCATGGCGTTGCTTTCCAAAGTTCAAGCTTTATGAATTATGATCTGCAAAATCACATCACATAGATAAGAGGAACCAATAAAAGATCAAAACATGACCTCTCTGTACAGAAATATGTACATACTTTTAAATGTAAAATATGCAGCAGCTGATGTACAATCATCTTGTTTTATTCCACCTCTTTCCGCAAGATTTAGAACAATTATACCTGTCTGCTCTATAGTCAGCCAAAATAGTTTATTTCTGAAATTGGTAGAACTCAAACGTGACATTTTCTAATCTGTATATTAAACTTGAAACAAAAAATATCCTCATAGAAATTATACATAATCATAATTTTTGTTTGTGATTTTTCGGAATAAAAATGATTTTGTGTTGGTAATTCTCAGAAATTTGCAGACATTTTTGCGATTAAAAATATATAGAGTTGAAATCAAAATTATTAGCCCCCATTTGAATTTTTCTTTTTCAAATATTTCCCAAATGATGTTTAACAGAGCAAGGAAATTTTCACAGTATGTCTGATAATATTGTTTCTTCTGGGGAAAGTCTTATTTGTTTTATTTCAGATAAAATACGAGCAGTTTTTAATTTATTAAAAAACATTTTAAGGTCAAAATTATTAGCCCCTTTAAGCTTTTTTTTTCCGATAGTCTACAGAACAAACCATCATAATACAATAACTTGCCTGATTACCCTAACCTGCCTAGTTAACCTAATTAACCTAGTTAAGCCTTTACATGTCACTTTAAGCTGTATAGAAGTGTTTTGTAGAATATCTCAAAACATCAAGCAGAGCGCTTTCCGAAATCAACATTATATATATATATACATGCAGCTGGGATGAGAATAAGCACCTCCACCTCCAATCCATGGTGCTCCATCAGAAAAAGGCGGTTTGCCATTTCTGGGTTAAAGGAAAGTTCTTACCCCAGGTGAAGGAGTTCAAGTCTCTTGTTAACGATTGAGGGAAGGATGGAACTTAAGATTGACAGGCAGATCAGTACAGCGGCAGCAGTAATGTGCTCAATGTACCAGTCCGCTGTGGTAAAGGAAGAGTGGAGTCATTAGGCAAAGCTCGATTTGCCGGTTAATCTATGTTTCTACTCTCACCTATGGTTATGAGCTTTAGGCCATGACCAACAGAACAAGATCTCAGATACAAGCAGCCAAAATGAGTTTCCTTCGCAGGGTGGCAGGGTGCACCCTTAAAGATAGGGCAAGGAGCTCTGTCACCTGGGAGGAGCTGAAAATCTGAATAAATTGATTTTAAGCAAAAAAATAAATAAAAACTTGTGATTCTCATTTTAGCCAGAATCGTGCAACCCATTTAGTTTTTTCCTAAAACATTCACCGATGTGCTGATTCGGTCTTCCCTGCCAAGTACACCTTATATTGGTTCACACTAGCTGTCAATCACTCAAGGCTTTCTGCTGTCAGATGACTGGGAGTTTTAGGACAGTGGAAAATGCAAAGACTGAAGTCTGAACAAGAGGCCATAAAACGTACACAGGTTTGCAAACCTACTTAAAGTTACAAATATTGGCGCTTATGATAGTGATCATGTGGTAAATGTTGATCTGCCAGCTGGAACAGAGTGCATGTTTTTGGATAGAGTGCTTGAAAGACTTGGAGTAGCTGTTTATTGTGCCAAATATCGATGTATTGCATTCACTGTACGGTTGGGTCAATAGACATTATGATGCTAAGCCGGCATCTCAATCCTCTGCCCCGCCCCTGTCACAGCAGCAACACGCTTGTGAAAAACACAAACCCAGGCCACGTTTACACTAATACAATTAATATTCACATTGATAATCCAGAAATCAATGCTGTAAAAGAACTGATGACTGTTTTTAACACTTTTGATCTGACTCAGCATGTTCAAGGACCCACACACAATTGTGGACACACTCTTGATCTACTTATAACTAAGGGTTTACACATTTCATCGACTGTTGTTAAGGATGTGGCACTATCTGATCATTTCTGTATCTTTTTTTGATATATTGATCACTCCAGCTATTAAAGACAGATCTGTCTCTGTCAGAAAGAGATGCATAAATGAGAACACCAGTGAGCAGTTTATGAAAGCCATATCGCTGGCACCAAGTATATCTGCAGACTCTGTTGATTCTCTCCTTGATTTGTTCAATTCTAAAATTGAGAATGTCATAAATGATATCGCTCCTGTTAAAGTCAGGAAGATGACTGGCAGGCAAAAGGGATCTTGGACAAGGTCACCGAAAGTACAAATGATGAAAAGACAGTGCAGAAAAGCTGAGCGTATGTGGAGAAAGACGAAACTAGTAGTCCATTATAACATCTATAAAGACAGTCTTCATGCCTTTAATATGGAACTAAACACTGCTAGACAGACTTTCTTTTCAAGCCTTATAAACAGCAACTTAAATAATGCTTGCACACTCTTTGCAACGATAGAGAGACTCACAAACCCCCCCAGTCAGATTCCAAGTGAGCTCCTCTCTGAAAGCAAATGTAATGAGTTTGCTCATTTCTTCACTGATAAGATTAATAATATCAGAAAGGCAATCAGCTCATCCAATCAGCCAAGTTGTGTTGATATCAAACAAGCTCAACCACAACTTAAGAAATCAGACATTATGTCTGATTTCATGGCAATTAACGGTAAAATCTTAGAAGAGACTGTGCAAGTTATGAAAACATCAACCTGCAGTCTTGACACGCTTCCCACATCATTCTTCAAAACGGTGTTTACCTGTTTAGAAATGGATCTTCTAAAAGTGGTAAATGCTTCACTTCTATCAGGGATTTTTCCAACCTCACTTAGAACTGCAGTTGTTAAACCCCTCTTGAAGAAGAGCAACCTGGATAACACCCTATTGAGCAATTACAGGCCAATCTCAAATCTCCCTTTCATTGGCAAAATCATTGAAAAAGTTGTTTTTAACCAGGTTAACAAGTTCTTAAACTTCAGGGGGTGTTTAGACAATTTTCAATCGGGGTTCAGAGCACATCACAGTACAGAGAGCGCTCTTATAAAGATAATCAATGATATACGCCTAAATACAGATTCAGGTAAAATAACAGTGCTGGTATTGTTGGATCTCAGTGCTGCATTTGACACTGTCGATCACAGCATACTTCTGGATAGGCTGGAAAACTGGGTTGGGTTGTCTGGCACGGTCCTCAAATGGTTTAGATCTTACCTTGAAGGGAGAGGTTACCATGTCAGTATAGGTGACCATAGGTCGAGGTGGACACCCATGACGTGTGGAGTCCCACAAGGCTCGATTCTGGCACCTCTCCTGTTCAACCTTTACATGCTCCCTCTAAGCCAAATAATGAGAAAGAACCAAATCTCCTACCACAGCTATGCTGATGACACTCAGATCTACCTAGCCTTACAGCCTAATGACTACAGCCCCATTGACACCCTCTGCCAATGCATTGATGAAATGAGCAATTGGATGTGCCAAAACTTTCTTCAGTTAAACAAAGAGAAAACTGAAATTATTGTGTTTGGAAACAAAGATGAGGTTCTCAAGGTAAATGCGTACCTTGGCACTAAAGGTCAAACGACAAAAAATAAGGTCAAGAATCTTGGTGTGACTCTTGAGTCAGATCTGAGTTTCAACAGTCATGTCAAAGCAGTCAGTAAATCAGCATACTATCATCTCAAAAACATAGCAAGAATCAGATGCTTTGTTTCTAGTGAAGATTTAGAAAAACTTGTTCATGCTTTTATCAGCAGCAGGGTGGATTACTGTAATGGACTCCTCACTGGTCTTCCTAAAAAGACAGTCAGACAGTTGCAGCTCATCCAGAACGCTGCAGCCAGAATTCTAACCAGAACCAGAAAATCAGAGCACATCACACCTGTCCTCAGGTCTTTACACTGGCTGCCAGTTACATTCAGAATAGATTTTAAAGTATTATTACTGGTCTATAAATCACTAAATGGCCTAGGACCTAAATACATTACAGATATGCTCACTGAATACAAACCTAACAGATCACTCAGATCTTTAGGATCATATAAACTAGAAGTTCCAAGAGTTCAGTCAAAGCAGGGTGAATCAACTTTTAGCCACTACGCCCCTCGCTGCTGGAATCAGCTTCCAGAAATGATCAGATGTGCTCCAACATTAGGCACATTCAAATCAAGACTGAAAACACATCTGTTTAGCTGTGCCTTTACTGAATGAGCACTGTGCTGCGTCCGACAGATTGCACTATCATGTTTTTCTCTTCTTCTTCATTCTTTCATATCACATTTTACCTGTTTTTATGTTTTGTTTTGTTTTTTATGCATTTTTATTATTTGTTTTTACTTTTATTTTACTTGTTTCTTTTATTCTTGTTTATGTAAAGCACTTTGAATTGCCATTGTGTATGAAATGTGCTATATAAATAAACTTGCCTTGCCTTGCTAATACATCTTAGTTTTAAAATGGCATTTTAGAACAAAAACAATCCACATCCATTTCACCTAGTATTTCTGAACAGCTCTCCATCCACACTAGATCACTGAAAACGCACATCATGTGACCACGCACACTTACACACATGTCATGCGCCACAGTGTGTGCACGTCTGAGCACCACCAATCAGTGGGTGCTTTGAGCACAAAACCCTAGAGAGCAGTGCATGTCAGACAGTTTATTAACAATGTATTGCTGGATTGCGCCTCGCTATAGTTGTTAAATGTGATATTTAATTAATCTTGTTTTGAATTAAATATAGCGTTACTCACCAACGAGGAAACATGCATGGACAGTGCTTTTACATCATTCAAAGAAAGAGCAGGCAGAAATGGGAAAGTGATGGATCTGTGCTATTAGCATCATTATATTAGCATCATATTAGCATCATTGACTCATAACAATGTACAGCACCTATTACTATCAGTATGCTTGTGTGCTCTTAATACCGTTTCTATTCTAGTTTGCAGTTAAGGAGAAAGAAATAAATACATTGAAATGCAAATAAAAGTCTAAATAGCAGAAGTGAACAAATAGATTTTCCCTACCAGCAAATACTAGTATCTATATAAGTATATTAATCGCAAATGCTCAGTTTGTGATCACATCTCTGTTTTGTTCTGTTGATATGTAATTTAAAATATTCGTAGCTTGAAATAGATGGAAATATGATTGCTATTAGCATGACTACTATGGCGAGGGCTTAAAACGGAGCAGTGATCATAGTTTATTCATTCATTTATTTTCTTGTCGGCTTAGTCCCTTTATTAATCCGGGGTCGCTACAGCAGAATGAACCGCCAACTTCTCCAGCACGTTTTTACGCAGCGGATGCCCTTCCATCTCTGGGTAAGTGCTCATAATATTGAGAAAAAAAAAAGAAAAAGACAGCTGGTAAACATAACCTGCTTTGTATTTTTGTAGGAAACACAGTTTAGATCTTTTTAGGGTAAGAGGTGTGAGATATTGCCGTCTATCACTGATTGTGAATATCGAAAACAAAACCAACTTAACTCCGCTCCTTTAGTGCCCCTCACAGAGCTTGATCAACCCTGCCATTTCTCCCCTTGGGTTTTAGGTTTTGGAAAGGGAATAAAACTCCACCACCACTTCCAAACTTTTAGGATACCGGGTATCGGGTTTGCCCAATCTATATGCACAATGCTTTGGCTTGTTTCCCTCGCTGTAAAGCTTGACAGAGCTCCTGCCCATAGCTACGGTTGCTAAGCCACAACTGGTGGGTGGCAGTTTTTGGGTGTGGCTTAGTGACGGGTCAATTCTGATGTTAAATTATTGTGTTTAAGACATGTGCTTGCCATGTCGTTGACAACATTATTAGACATTTTTTTACTGGTAAAATTAGACATTTGTCATTATCCGATTCCCTGTTGCATTATATAGGCTAGAGTAATTATACTAGCACTGTTAAATATTTATTTTCATGCACAACACCCCAGGTTCTCTATTTTAAAAAAAATTAATTAATAAAAAAAAAAAACATGAAATGCTTGCCGTAATCATTACTCGATATGATAATTTAAATGATGTGCGCGCTGGTTTTACTTTACACTGCCAAATACGCTCAATGCTGTCGCCACTTTGAGAGAAATAAAAACACACATGTGAATCATTCTTCTTGCGCGGCTCCCAAACAAACCAGGTGTGCAACAAACCGAACCATATTTACAACTTTATTACCTGTTATTCACAGCCTATGCAGGTTCTGTACACTAAAGTAGACATCATTCACAGGTATGCGCGTGTTTCGGTAGTAAACAAACGTGAGTGCGTCAGCTCATGTGTGATTTCGCGGCCGCGACTACATTAAATGGTGACACTTTTGACACAATTTACAGTGTCCATGTTGCTGTGAAGATTTGTGCATCTGCCTTTACGCATCTCTACTGACCTTGATAATAAAAATTGGCTGAATCGTAGAAAAGCTGAATTAAGATCATGTGTAGAGTCGAATCGAGACTGTGATTTTTTTTAGATTATTGGTGCAGCCCTAGTGTAACTTATCTTTATTTATTTATGAGTTAAATATTTATGGGTAAAACAAAGACCATGTAGGTCAGGTAGTTGAAACGGTAGGCTACAAATAATGAATTCATTATGAATGAATTAATTATTCATAAATAATTAATTCACCATCGCCACGACAATGACGCCATCCTTCATCGCGATGCCAGACATCGTACAATGCCAAATTCGTTGACATCGCCCGACCCTAATTCACTGTGTGTTCCACGCAAATGGCGGCTAACTGCAAAATCCAACACGGCAAACATCATCGCCAAAGTAGCTTGCGTTTGCTAAGTTTAAACTAATACTGCAGCTCATGACAAGCAACGGTATTGTGCAGATCCGAATGGACATCTGGAGAATCCTCCTATTTTGGGCTGACTGATTCTCTTGCTTTTTTAACATCACAGAAAAATATAAATCGGCGCATAATGAGACTGTGCACTTAAAATGTGCACTTTTCTCTGAGCATGCACGCGTTCTCTCTCAAACACAGGTGCATGTGCCCAGGTCGTTGCCATCGACAGAAACCCAAACCAAAACGTTTAAAGAACGGTAGAAGCCGGAATTTTCATCCTTTCTTTGTCTGTTCTTTCTTGAGATGCATATTATGTTTCTATTTAGTTACTGGTTTTGCAACTTTCAGCACTGAATAGGTGCCCCTACATTTCTTTTTTCTGGCGCTCCTGAATTTTGAAGTCGGGAGCACCAGTGCTACCAAATAAAAAATGTAATTTCAAGCCCTGCGACATATCAATCTGTGTTTTGGTTGATGACATTTTAATCAAATCCACAACAAAGGGTTTCACTTAAAATGAGTTCCAGAGTCACTTTAGATTTAAAACATTTAAAGTTTAATTTTAGCAGCTCATTAAAGCAATTAAACACATTATTGAGCTAATAGTCACTTTTCAACAGCAGCAAAACAACCTAATCTGAACAGCAGAAATAGATTGTATTTCACAGCTAACGAAGTAAATAAAAAATAAAAAAGATTGCATCAGTGTGGGCGGTAGATAAGTTGGTCAGTCTGATCCAGACACTGTATAAATGAAAGGACAGAAAGGAGAGAAGAACAAACTCCTAACAGGAGGAGACTCACTCATGGCCTACGAGACAGAGGATCAGGAGACTCAATACTGCTTTCCTGACATCAACTCATCATGTGTCAAGGAACAACGCTCCAGTCATGGATATATCATCACATATGTGTTTGTGTCATTGCTGTCAGCATGGACTGTGTTTCTGAACCTGCTGGTGATCATCTCCATCTCTCACTTCAAGAAGCTTCACACTCCAACCAACATGATTATTCTCTCTCTGGCTGTAAATGATCTGTTAGTTGGACTCGTCATGCCTATAGAGGCCATCAGACTGATTGAGACGTGTTGGTATTTTGGAGACACTTTCTGTGGACTCTATTTATTATTTGTGTCATTACTTCTGGCAACATCTATTGGTAATTTAGTTTTAATTGCTGTTGATCGTTATGTGGCTGTGTGTCACCCTTTACTGTACCCACAGAAAATAACCATCACTAAAACACTAATGAGTATCTGTCTGAGCTGGGCTTGTTCATCAGCTTATATCATTGCAATTTTAATTAATAATAGTTATTTTGACACTTCACACAGAAAAGACAAGTGTTATGGAGAGTGTTTGCTCATGATAACGTTTAGCTGGTTTGTCACTGATCTGTTCATGTCTTTTATTTTTCCTTGCACTCTGATCATGATGTTATATTTGAGGATCTTCTATGTTGTTCATCAGCAAGTGAAGGTTATAAACTCTCTAATGAAGCATGGTAAATGTCTAAAAGAGGGTTCAGTGAAGAGGAAATCTGAGAGTAAAGCAGCTCTGACTTTAGGAATCATTGTGTCAGTTTATCTGCTTTGCTATATCCCATATTGCATCTGTTCTCTAACTGTAAACTCTGTCACGGCTATGAATGTTTTAATATGGATTGTGTATTCTAACTCAGGTGTGAATCCTCTGGTTTATGCTTTATTTTACCCCTGGTTTAAAAAGACAGCTAAACACATTTTAACACTGAAAATATTTCAGCTGACGTCCTCTCTGTTTAATGTTTTTACAGAACATTTATAATCATTACTTTCAAAGCGTTCACTAATATGTTTAATTTCTAAGTTACTTATGTATTTCTGTTAAAACAAGACAAAGATGTTTGACAGTACCCATTATTACCTATGTGATTCAGCTATGGTGTAGGGGAGGGGGTTCTCGTCTCAATCAGTCTTCAACTGCAGAGAAACAAACCGACCATTGCGGCAATAATGAATAGACAGACAAGTGTGTATTCTGTTTGTGTGTGTGTGTGTGTGTGCGTGTGTGTGTGTGTGTGTGTGTGTGTGTGTGTGTGTGTGTGTGTGTGTGTGTCTTTTATCACTGAAGCCGCTCTCTTCAAAAATGGAAAGATGCTTCGTCTGTCTGGCAATATCAGATGAGCCAATATTAAAAAATTGCAGTAAAGTAACTGTGATGTGCAGTCACACATCGAATCTGAGGTCTGATCTCATCTCTCTCTGTCATCCAGACATTGATACAGACGCCACACAAGTCAAGTCGCAAAACTGAGGCTGGTACCAGCTGACAGAATAGTTGAAGCCTTTGCGAAATCTGTCAAAACACATCACTGAAAAGGTATAAATGTCTTTGAGCCAAAAAGTCTATGTGTAGGATATCTGTAAAAACACAATCAGAGACAATGTTATGGAGAATTTGTGTGGCCTAATAATTATATTAATTCTAATAAAATGAAAACCCAAATAAACAATTCATTGCATTTCTTGTTTGATAATAATATACAGAAACGAATCAAAGGGTGGCTGGTTTGTATTAATGTGTTTTAATATAAAAAAAAATATTCTCAGCCTATTTAAGCCTAATGGCTATATATGCCGCCAATAGGCAACCCATTTAAAAAATATTACTTCACTGTCTACTGGGTGATAATGTATATTTTACAATAAAAACTAAATGTAGCATGTCTTGCTGTCATTTAAAACATGCAATTCACAACACACCAGAGCTGTAGTCTATGCATTGTGTGAACTTACAGGGAGGTACGGGTCAATAGTCATACTGCGCACCACGCTACTGAACTCTGATATCTCTGAGAGAGATTGTTACCAGATAGCCCATAATAACTTGAGAGATTTACAAATAAAAGATATTTTAAAAAGGAACAACACACAAATTCATTCATTCATTTTCTTGTCAGCTTAGTCCCTTTATTAATCCGGGATCACATTTTTACACAGCGTATGCCCTTCCAGCCGCAACCCATGTCTGGGAAACATCCACACACACTCATACACTACGAATAATTTAGCCTACCCAATTCACCTGAACTGCATGTCTTTGAATTGTGGGGGAAACCGGAGCACCCAGAGGAAAACCCATGCAAACGCAGGGAGAAAATGCAAATTCCACACAGAAACCCCAACTGAGCGACCCAGCGACCTTCTTGCTGTGAGGCGACAGCACTACCTACTGTGCCACTGCTTCGCCCAACAACACACAAATAACACAACAAATAAAACTGGTCCCGTAAAGTTCAGCACTTAATCTTGCCAGTGTCTTATGCAATGTGTGTTGGCAATTACCGCAAAACTAAAAGTGAAAGTATTATACACACGCAAAAAAAAAAAAAATGGAGGAAAAGAGGAAAGCCCCACAATGATACCGGTATTACCAGTGTTGTCACATGTCGATTAAACAAATGGGGAAATTTCCTCATCGTCACAACCCTACACCAGGGGCAATTAAATTATAGTATAGATTGTGTGTATAGTATACACACAATCCAGCATGCCTTATAATAACTTCATAAATAGTAGTAAATAAACATAGGAAAAACCCACATATTAAAAATTTTAATTTAAAACTTGCTTAAATGTAAGGTTGTAAAGTCTTATTGCCTCATGAACAAAGGTAAATTTATATCTGTTAGAGGAGCATTTGATGCTTCTAAACCTTCTTCCAGAGGGCAACAGAACACAAAAAGGCTTCAGATGATGGGAGTCATCTCCCATCACACTTTGAGTTTTCCTTAACATTTGCTGTTCGTGTAACTCTGCTAGACTCCGCAGAGGGAAATCAATACACTTGGAATAATCTCTGGTATCGATATTTGTCTAAAGTTACAAAAGATCTCGATTAATAAATCAGTCTTAAGAGGGTCGCACACCAAATGCACTGTGCACATAACAGTTGGTAACACACACCGGATGCACACATTCTCATGTTATTTTATATGAAACTTTTCAGATGGCGCTCTGTGGAAATATGAACAGTGTTCTGAGTTGTAGCTGGGTGCCATGGACAGCCGCTGAATTGCGGCGCAGGTGTGCATACTCTGATAGAAATCTGTTTAGAATTCTAAAACGCTTGACGCTGTGTGGCACAGTGCCTGCAGACTTCACCGCTTTGGCGATTTTCCCATGATGGCAGATTAACAATACATCAGAGCATTGACCTTCTTGCGTTAAGTTAGTCCTTATAAACCATCCCTTTATAAAATACATCTTTTATGAGGCTAATGTTACTGAAGAACAAACCAAATATGCAATATGATCCATGTGTAACCCCGTTGGTCCTAGACCACCTAAGCTGGGATCAAATCTGTAACTTTCCGCATGGGAGTCGGTCACTGCAACAAGTAGGCTAAAGAACGTGGCCTCTAGTGTCTGTCGCTGGAGCACCTTTTAGAGGTCTGAGGAGAGGTTTACCTGTAGAGCACTTCACTAGCTGAAACAGATTTTTTTTTAAATTATAATATCACATCAGAGTGGGCGGTAGATGGGTTGGTCGGTCTGATCCAGACACTGTATAAATGAAAGGAAAGAAAGGAGAGCAGAACAAACACCTAACAGACGGAGACTCACTCATGGCCTATGAGACAGAGGATCAGGAGACTCAATACTGCTTTCCTGACATCAACTCATCATGTGTCAAGGGGAGACGCTCAAGTAATGGATATAACATCATCTATGTGTTTGTGTCATTGTTGTCAGCATGGACTGTGTTTCTGAACCTGCTGGTGATCATCTCCATCTCTCACTTCAAGAAGCTTCACACTCCAACCAACATGATTATTCTCTCTCTGGCTGTTACTGATCTGCTTGTTGGACTCGTCATGCCTGTAGAGGCCATCAGACTGACTGAGACGTGTTGGTATTTTGGAGACACTTTCTGTGGGCTCTATTTTTTATTTCTTGCATTACTTCTCTCAGCATCTCTTGGTAATTTAGTTTTATTAGCTGTTGATCGTTATGTGGCTGTGTGTCACCCTTTACTGTATCCACAGAAAATAACCACCACTAAAACGTTAATGAGTATCTGTCTGAGCTGGGTTTGCTTGTCAGCTTATAATACTGCCATTGTAATTAATAATGGATATTTTAACATGATTATTCTCTCTCTGGCTATAAATGATCTGCTTATTGGACTCGTCATGCCAGTGGAGGCCATCAGAGTGATTTAGACGTGTTGGTATTTTGGAGACACTTTCTGTAGACTCTATTTATTATTTGTGTCAATACTTCTTGCAGCATCCATCGGAGCACCCGGAGGAAACCCACGCCAACACCGGGAGAACATGCAAACTTGCCAACTGACCCAGCCGAGGCTTAAACCAGCGTCCTTCTTGCTGTGAGGCGAACGTGCTACCCACTGAGTCACCGTGCAGCCTAATTACAGTTTTACAAAAGAAAAAAAAGTCTATATCAAGTTTGTGCGATATGAAGATTTTCAATGTGGACTAACAAAATGTCTCCATGATCTGCTTTTGAAGGAATATCGTAGTATTGTGCTAAATATATTGTACAACAGAAGGACGAACAGTTACCATGGATGGAGGTAACATGTCTCCACAAATATCCACTGATTATTAAAACACTTATAAAAGTGAAAGTAGAGAAAGGGACAAATCCAACACAATCTCACGGCAATTCGTAACTTTTTCATTTAGTGGCTAATTCGTATGAATTCGTACGATCTAATTCGTATAATTTAGTACGATTTGCTTTTCCCCCAATGACGGTTGGGGTTAGGGGTGGGGTCAGGTGCCACGCCTCCTTTTTAAAATCGTACCATTTCGTACGACTGAACTCGTACGAATTCGTACGAATTAGCCACTAAACTGGCAAAACGTAAAATACTTACGTTTTCTCGTGAGATCAGGCTGGACAAATCACATTCTCGCTTCGTGTGCTACCTTTCCCAAAACACATGTGCAGTGTGATTGGCTGAGCTTTTCCCTGTCAAGTGAGCGGCTGCAAAAGTATGGTTTTGGATGTTTGCCAAAACTGCAAGAAAAGGCATAACAACGCCTCTTCTTCCTCAGGCGTCTCAGGGGGTTTGTATTGAGCCCCCACATCCTCCGCTCGTTCTACACCTGCATAGTGGAGAGCATCCTGTCTGGCTGCATCACCACCTGGTATGGAAATAGCACCAGCAGCAATCGCAAAGGCCTACATAGGATTGTGTGAACTGCTGGACGCGTAGTAGTAAGTGAGCTTCCCTCCCTCCAGGACATCTACACCAGGCGGTGCATGATGAAAGCCAAGAGAATTACCAGCGACTCCAGCCACCCAAGCCATAGACTTTTCTCTCTGTTACCCTGAGGCAGACGGTTCCACAGCATCCGGTCACGCACAAGCCGGCTGAAGGAAAGCTTCTTCCCTCAGACTATCAGGCTGATGAACACTGAACACACCTCACACAGACTCTTCCATACCCTCACTGCTTACCATCAATATATAGTATGCACTGCACTTTAACCAATGCATACTTGAAACAATACCACCTACAACTATGTGGACGCCTATTCATTTAACATATTGCTGGCAATTTTACATTGTCCTTTTTTTTTTGTTTTGGGGGGGGTGGGGGGGCGAGTATGCTAATGTGTTTTGCACTGTCGTTGTATTTACACTGTCTGTATTTTCCACTGTCTGTATTTTGCACAGTCCTTTTATTTGCACTGTCGTTGTATTTGCACTGTATTTTGTCTGTACTTTGTATTGTCTGGAGCCAGCACCTAAGCTTTTCACTCATCATAGCACACGTGCTGCAGATGATGTGACAATAAAAGTGATTTGATTTGAAGTAAATATGCCAATCAGTCTTAAGGCTGATTTACACTTCTGCGTCAAACGCCGGCGTATGCTACGGCGCTGACGCATAGCCCTTCGCCGTGGCCGTCGGCGTCACTGACGTGCACCACTCAAAAAATTTAACTACACGTCGCAACGACGCGTAGCGCAAGCTCTGTCATTGGTCGGTTTGGTAGCGATGACGAGCCTAGGTGGGACCGAGAGCCGCGCGAATGGCGCAAGCCCAATGTAGCGAATGTTTACAAGTGTGGAGTCCCGTGAAGGAGCTCCAGATTGAAAGTTTTGTTTTGTGTTTACCTCATAGTTAAAATTGTTGCACATCCGCCGGTTCCTGCCTCTAAATAAGCGAGTTTGAGCCACTTGTACATCCAGGAAGTGTTCAGGAAACGCAAAACAGCAGAGAAGAAACTCGACCCAGAGGAGCATTAACACCTCACTGCCAACTAGCGTTTCGGAAGTGTTAATGCAGACCAACAGAGACAGCGGGCAGAAGTATAAATGCACAGCTACGGGCGTTGCATGCGCCGTGGGTTACGCCGATCACTTGTCGCAGAAGTATAAACCAGGCTTTACTGTGCGAGGCTCGGGTCAGACGTGCACTTATGGAGCTTTTAAAGAAAAGTGTAAGTCACATGAAGTCAAGTTCACTGTGTATCAACTACAGTAATTGTAAGCATACTGGGCAACATTTAGTTTCAATTTTGGCCTCGACAATGTAAGAGTGGGTTTTAACCACAGCGGTTCGAGCTGTAGTTCTGCCGAATGACTAAAAAGTTATCAATATGATGGTAAAAAAAACTGTACATTTCTAGTCAAAACTTTATTCTGCAATCTCATACCAAAAACGGAAATAAGGGCAGCATTAATAGCTATAAATGTGGGAGAGTGCTGATATAATGTGATTGTATTGTATTGCAATATGGAACAATTAAATGTTGATGTTAAATCAAAAGTAATTCACAAATACTTGAAAATGAGATGATTTAATGACAATAATTCTCAATTATTAACAATCTTATTTTAGGTGTGACTTTTTAACATTCGGTAAAGGGTCTATGGATGAAAAATAGCCATTTTTGGCTAATTCTGGCACATTTTACAGTAATGTTTATTAATGTGCATTGACCCTGTAAACAAATAAACTAAACTAAAAAAAAAAAATGGTTACAACTGAATTAAGTAGAAAATAACTGTATAAAATGATGAAATATGAAATGATAAAACATATGATATTAATTGTACCCAGCTTAAATGTAAAATTAAAGATACCAGAGGTAGAAAGAGAGACAAAGGGGCAGAGAGAGAGGCAAAGAGAGCAGGCCCTGAAGTTAGCCTGATTGCAGTAGAGTCAGAGAAGATAGACTCCAGAGGAGGAGAGGAGCAGAGCAGGAAAGTGCAGAGACATAAATGAGATCAGAGCACAGTTTACCACCTATTTTGTATCTTTCTTAACCATGTGACTAAAGGGCCAAATACTGAGACATTCAAACTGAACAATCAACATGTGACCACATCATAAAACCCACAAAGTCCACACACCACGCCCTGATCTCATCAGTATCTGCCTTTGGAATTTGTGTGAGCCTTCTTGGGTGGAAAAGAAAGAAACAAGTGTATTTGATAATTTTCATTCCTACAATTATGAAGAAACAACAATCAATTAAATGGCTATTGTGTCATCATGCCTTCCACTTTCAAGAAGTCTGCATTTATTACACAAGTAAAATTATAAAATTTTAAATGAAATACTGCTTGATTTAATGGTAATTCGTTAGTCAAGTGTATAAGATTTATTCATTTATTAATGTTTTTAAATGCACTGACTAAAATGTGTGGTGTGTTCTGCTCCGAGAGAGAAAAACAGAAACATGTAAAGTCATCTTCCGGTAAATACATATTTTAAAACTTATACTCGGTCATACCCATCCACATGAATAAAGGTTCATTAAAATTTCCACAACCAATAAGATAAATAAATAAATAGATTACATCAGAGTGGGCGGTAGATGGGTTGGTCGGTCTGATCCAGACACTGTATAAATGAAAGGACAGAAAGGAGAGAAGAACAAACTCCTAACAGGAGGAGACTCACTCATGGCCTATGAGACAGAGGATCAGGAGACTCAATACTGCTTTCCTGACATCAACTCATCATGTGTCAAGAGGAGAAGCTCCAGTCATGGATATAACATCATCTATGTGTTTGTGTCATTGCTGTCAGCATGGACTGTGTTTCTGAACCTGCTGGTGATCATCTCCATCTCTCACTTCAAGAAGCTTCACACTCCAACCAACATGATTATTCTCTCTCTGGCTGTAACTGATCTACTTATTGGACTCGTCATGCCTGTAGAGGCCATCAGACTGATTGAGACATGTTGGTATTTTGGAGACACTTTCTGTGGACTCTATTTATTATTTGTGTCAATACTTCTCTCAGCATCGCTTGGTAATTTAGTTTTATTAGCTGTTGATCGTTATGTGGCTGTGTGTCACCCTCTACAGTACCCACAGAAAATAACCACCACTAAAACGTTAATGAGTATCTGTCTGAGCTGGCTTTGCTTGTCAGCTTATAATACTGCCATTGTAATTAATAATGGATATTTTGACTCTTCACGCAGAACAGATGTGTGTTATGGTCGGTGTTTAATCATGGTGAGTTTTAGCTGGATAGTCACTGATCTGTGCATGTCTTGTATTTTTCCATGCACCCTGATCATAATGTTATATTTGAGGATTTTCTTTGTAGTCCATCAGCAAGTAAAAGTTATAAATTCTCTAATTACAGGTGGTAAATGTGTAACGGAGGGTTCAGTGCAGAGGAAATCTGAGAGTAAAGCTGCTCTGACTTTAGGAATCATTGTGTCAGTTTATCTGCTTTGCTATATTCCTTACTATATCTGCTCTCTAACTGAAATCCCATCCACAGCAATGAATGTTTTAATATGGGCTGTCCATTCTAACTCAGGTCTGAATCCTCTGGTTTATGCTTTGTTTTACCGCTGGTTTAAAAAGACAGCAAAACTCATCCTTACGTTGGAAATATTTCAGCCTGCATCCTCTTGGATTAATATTTTTACAGAAAATTAATTATTATTACTTGCAAAGCTGTCACTAATAAAGATAGATATTATAATATTTATATTTGTAATTTTCCCTACTCATGTCACATAGAGCTTATGTAAACCTGTAAACTTGATGTTTAGGTAACTTATGATGTACTGCTGTAAAAACAAGATAAAGATGTGTGACAGTAGTATCCATTATTACCTGTGTGAATCAGATATGGTGTGGGGGTTTGTGCCTCCGCTTGTTTTATGCTTAATGTTATATAATAATATGCATAACTGCTATAAAAATTATTTTCGCAAGCAATAAACACTGTTACGAAAAAATCACCTGTTTATTAATAATAAACTTTAAACTTGCTTTTTCTGTATTTAAAAAAATAATGAAGTGTTGTGGGACTGAAAGTGCTGTAAGCATAATAAGGTCAGTGGTGTGAGTGATGATGTGCAGCACACCGGTCTCCAGCACAACAAAAGACCTCCAGTAAGAAAAAAAGCAGAGCTGATGACAGAAGAACGAAAGCATCATGCCACAGACCCTTTATGCTCTTGTTTTGCTTTTACCACCAATACTTCAATTTTAATACAACTAATTGAATAAACTTAACAGCTGAGTCAATGGCCTATATCCTGATGCAAAATGTGTTGGAAAGTCCTGCACAACACTAACAGTTTGAGGTGTTCATATGTCTGTACTGCACGTCAATAATGTGTTGTGTTTATTACCATTACGACTTTAGTCATATTAAGGTAATGAAAAGTATAGATGTACATGGAAACTTACCGAATGTCGCAGTGAGAGAACTGTCTCATCATATAGGTATGTGCTTCACTGTCACAGTATTAGAAAATCAGACCATTCCTGTGACAAAACACAGCAAATCTACTTCACCCAGCTCTTATCATTTCAAGACTCTATCATTTGGCCTTCAAACCAGCAATACTAAATGGGATTCAGAATCCAGCTTCATGTCTGCTCTTCAATCTAAAGTTTTACACCTGTAATTTCTGAAATGGGTAAAACTCAGTTTGTTTTCTGTATTATGAAATTAAAAAAGCATAAGCACAGAAAGATCAAAACACCCACCCCCTCCCAAATAAAGTCTTATTCAACCTGTTTAGAGTACAAAAAAGGTACTCACAAATTGTAATTTTCTAAACAAACTGTTTTTTGTTGTTGTTGTTGTTGTTTTATTATTAGAATATACAAAAAGGTACACAGTTTGAGATGATACAAATACTAAGAAAATGAAACAATAACAAAAACACCAAAAACAACAACAATACAGTCAAATACTGGCAGGTGCATGTGTTTGTGTGTGTGCGCGTGCATGTAAAGGTAACTTGGTAAACAGGTCAGAGTATACAAAAGGAACAATAACAGTCACTAAATGAAGCAAGTCACATACATACATACATACATACATACATACATACATACATACATACATACATACATACATACATACATACATACATACATACATACATACATACATACATACATACATACATACATACATACATACATACATACATACATACATACATATATATATATATATATATATATATATAGTTGAAGTCAGAATTATTAGACCCCTTTGAATTTTTTTCTTTTTTAAACAATTCCCAAATGATGTTTTACAGAGCAAGAAAATTTTCACAGTATGTCTGATAATATTTTTTCTTCTGGATAAAGTCTGATTTGTTTTATTTCAGCTAGAATAAAAGCAGTTTTACATTTTGTAAAACACCATTTTAGGGACAAAATTATTAGCCCCTTTAACTATTTTTTTCTAGATAGTCTACAGAACAAACCATCGTTATACAATAACTTGCCTAATTGCCCTAACCCGCCTAGTTAGCCTAATTAACCTAGTTAAGCCTTTAAATGTCACTTTAAGCTGTATAGAAGTGTCTTGAAAAATATCTAATCAAATATTATTTACTGTCATCATGGCAAAGATAAAATGAATCAGTTATTAGAAATGTGTTATTAAAACTATTATGATTAGAAATGTGTTGAAAAAATCTGCTCTCCATTAAACACAAATTGAGGAAAAAATAAACAAGCAATCTAATAATTCAAGGGGGCTAATAATTCTGACTTCAACTGTATATATATATATATATATATATATATATATATATATATATATATATATATATAGGGGAAAAATCAGATAGAAAGAAACCAGTCAGTGATAAGCAGTGACAACAATGCTAGTGATTTAATGATAACAACAATGACAGTAAACAAGCAAGAAAGGACAACAGTAATAATCATAAACAACAACCACTACAATAATACTAATAATAAAAATAAATCACAAGTACTATACGAAATACTACTACTACGAGAATTTCTAATGTTACAACTATTACTACTGCTACTACAGCCACAACCACTACTACTGATTCTATTACAACGACTACTACCACTGATACTACTACTACATCTACTACTACTACTGATACTACTACAGCAATGACTGCTACTACAACATCTACATCAACAATGTCTACTACTTCTGATACTACTACACCGGCATCTAACCAAAACTAATCAAACTGTTTAATATACAGTATATACAGGGGGAAAATTCTGTGAGTAAAAAAATGAAATAAGCTATAATAACAGGCTGCAGAATAAAGCTCATCACACATTGACTCATGTAGCCTTGACTGCAAATTATAAACAGACATGCACAAACAGAGATCAAACTTACAAGCAAAGCTAAAGTGTATAAATTAATCTATGCCTGATTTCACAGACTGATTTCATTCAGGTGGTCAGGTGAAAGATTCTATTGTCCAGCACCATTCTGGATTTATTGGATGAATGATTTACAGCAGCTGATTAGTGCAGCTAACTCATTGTTGAGCTATACTTTACTTTTGAACAGAAGCAGAAAACCCTAACCTGGAATGAAGAAATAGACTAAATATTAAAGCTAATGTTCAAGAACGAAATAAATAATTTTTTTTTTAATATAAATGACATCAGAGTGGGCGGTAAATGGGTTGGTCAGTCTGATCCAGACACTGTATAAATGAAGGGACAGAAAGGAGAGCAGAACAAACTCCTAACAGGAGGAGATTCAGTCATGGCCTATGAGACAGAGGATCAGGAGACTCAATACTGCTTTCCTAACATCAACTCATCATGTGTCAAGGAGAGACGCTCCAGTCATGGATATAACATCATCTATGTTTTTGTGTCATTGCTGTCAGCATGGACTGTGTTTCTGAACCTGCTGGTGATCATCTCCATCTCTCACTTCAAGAAGCTTCACACTCCAACCAACATGATTATTCTCTCTCTGGCTGTAAATGATCTGTTTATTGGACTCATCATGCCTGTAGAGGCCATCAGAATGATTCAGACGTGTTGGTATATTGGAGACACTTTCTGTGGACTCTATTTATTATTTGTGTCTTTACTTCTGGCAACATCTATTGGTAATTTAGTTTTAATCGCTGTTGACCGTTATGTGGCTCTGTGTCACCCTCTACTGTACCCACAGAAAATAACCATGGTTAAAACATTCATGAGTATGTGTCTGAGCTGGGCTTGTTTATCAGCTTATAACACTGCCATTGCAATTAATAATGGATATTTTGACACTTCACAACGAACAGATGTGTGTTACGGAGAGTGTTTACCCATGTTGAGTTTCAGCTGGTTTGTCACTGATCTGTTCATGTCTTTTATTTTTCCTTGCACTCTGATCATAATGTTATATTTGAGGATTCGTTCATCAGCAAGTGAAGGTTATAAACTCTCTGATGAAGGGTGGTAAATGTGTTACAGAGGGTTCAGTGAAGAGGAAATCTGAGAGTAAAGCTGCTCTGACTTTAGGAATCATTGTGACTGTTTATCTGCTTTGCTATATCCCATACTATATCTGCTCTCTAACTGTAAACTCTTCCACGGCTATGAATGTTTTAGTGTGGGTTGTGTATTCTAGCTCAGGTGTGAATCCTCTGGTCTATGCTTTGTTTTACCCCTGGTTTAAAAAGACAGCTAAACTCATTTTAACTTTGAAAATATTTCAGCTGACATCTTCTCTGATCAATATATTTACAGAACATTTATAATCATTACTTTCAAAGCATTCACTAATATAGAAATAATATTTGATTTCTATTTGTAATTTTCACTACTCTTGTCATATCTCACTAATAGCTGTGGTGTGGGGGAGGGGGGTTGCGTGGCTATCTTTGCTTTATGCTTAATCCCATATAATAATATTCACAACTGATGTGAATACTGTGTTTGCAAGCTACAAACAGTGTTACCAAAATCACCTGTTTATTGATAATGAACTTGCTGAATAATCATTTTTCCAAATCCAAAAAAAAGTGAAGTGCTGCTAGACAGAGTCGGGGTGATCTGAATGAGGTCAGTGGTGTGGGTGATGATGAGCATCACCAGTGCTGCACACCTGTCTTTAGCCCAACAGAAGAGCTCCAGAAGGAAAAAAGCAGAGTGACGACTGAATGATGAGAGGACCAGGCCCCAGACACTAACTATTAAATTTGGTACATTAATTATCACGAAAGAGGAAACATATCTATATAATGACATATGCTTTAATGTGTGTTTCTACTAGTTTGCCTAATAAAATACAAAAAAATGGAAATCAAGAGTGATGATGATCATGAGCAGAGAGAGTACGTATGATTTAGACATTCTGTATTTAACTGATCCACTAAACCAGCAGTAAAATAATGCAAAATGTAGACATGAATCTACAGTTAATGTCATCCAGGATAAAGAAAAGCTTATAAATGTTCACAACAAATCACTGTCATAAAGAGAGAATAAAGTTCAGCTTGAAGATCAGCTGAGCAATGACCCGGTCATTCAGGTTTATGCTTTACAATCACAACATTGGTCAAATCAGACTCTTTCTACTAGAAAACACAGTAAAGCTACTTCAAGCTCTTGTGATTTCAAGACTGGACTACTGTAAAGCTCTATCAGCAGGCATTCAAAAGAGTAAGAATAAACCTGATTCAGAACACAGCTTCATGTCTGCTCTTTAGTGTTTTAAACCCAAAAATGGTAAAACTGAAATGTGAAATTTTCTATTTTCTTTATTAAACTTGAAACAGCATCAGGATAAACATAAAAAATATCCCCAAATGTTATCATTATTCGACTTTTTTTGAGAGCAAATAAATGGTACACAAATGCTATAACTAATCAACTGTTTAATATATACTATACATATTTTTACTTTACGGCTAAATTTTGGGATTAAATGCTGAAATGCCTTCTTTAAAAAATGCAGGTGTCCACGTTCAGACTGAACACTGTCAGTACACATCTCTTTTGAATGACACAGCCCAGATTTGCATATTTGAAATGTATCTGGCTCACGCTTTTGAAACTGTCTGTATTATTGTTCTTCCTTCATTCATGGTTTTGCTCAACATGTGATGCTTCATTGTTTACATAAATAATAGTTTTGTTTAAACCTGTATTATAATAGTAGTATATATTGGGGTGTATATATACCACAATGGATCATTAAAAAATGCATTTGCCAAAAATAATGCTAAAAAAAATGTAGACATGAATCTAAAGTTAATGTTATCCAGGATAAAGAAAAGCTTATAAATGTTTATGAAGATTCACTGTCATAGAGAGAGAATGAAGTTCAGCTTGAAGATCAGCTGAGCAATGACCCGGTCATTCAGGTTTGTGCTTCATAATCACAACATTGGTCAAATCAGACCCTTCCTATTAGAAAACACAGTAAAACTACTTCAAGCTCTTATGATTTCAAGAATGGACTACTGCAAAGCTCTATCAGCATGTCTTCAAATCAGCATAATTTAACCAGAATACAGCTTCATGTCTGCTCTTCAGTCGGCCTAAAGGGTTTTACACCTGTACATTTTGAAATTGGTAAAACTTAAATTAGGGCTGGGCGACATGGGCAAAATATCATATCCCGGTATTTTTTGGAGGAATACGGTATTCGATATTTTTCCGGTATTTTCCCATAAATGGTTAATTAAGAGTTTAAGCCTTTATTAAAACGTTATTAAACATTTTTTGAGCAAAATATCATTCAAGTACAGGGGTTTCCCCCTTTGTTTACAAATAAACTGCACAACAAAATAAACAGATGCAAAAAATCTTTGATACATAGAATACAGTACAGGTTTTTCTCCTGCTTAAAACGATTGCACAACATTTCAAATTATAAACAAAAAAAATTGATGAATACAGTACAGGGTTTTTTTTCCTGCTTAACACTATACTCAGCTCTACTGTGCTGTTGTGCAAATAACAAAGTAAACAGCCATAGAAAACAGCTACAATGTCAGAGCAAAAAAGCAACACTAACACGACAAAACAATATTGTAGGATAGTAAAGAACCACACTGAATGTCAATATAAAACACACAGTAGTTTATGTCACAATTACAGTGTTTTTATAAGTAATCCTGTATAGCACAGTTGTGTGATTTACAAGCAGCAATTAAATCAGCTGTATCTGTTTTTTTAGTTACACATTTACATGTATGTGTTGTGCACAATTATTAAACAGTGCACATATCGAAGATATCTAAAGAGAAGTCTTTCACTCTATGCAAATAATCCTACACTTCTTTTGTTTTGACTAAACTTGTTTTACTAAATATTGAATAAGCAGATGAAAACGTAAAGACTATTGATTTGAGAAGTAACGAAATAGTTTCAGAGTACTGTGATGAAATGCTGATTAAGCATATAAATGTAAACAGTCATTATAACGGAGCAGAACGCAGAGCTAAATGTGTTATAACGTAAATGTAAAGAGACCGTCCTGTAATAAACACTGAACTTATAATCAGTGAATTTGAGGTGGTTTTACTTTTGAAATGCGATATAAATTCCTCCCATTTTGGCGTTTTTAATTATTTTAAACACATTCCGGTGCTGCTTGTCAAATTGACAAGGCTTCTACTAGAGCTGCACGATTCTGGCTAAAATGAGAATCGCAATTTTTTTGGGTTAAAATAAAGATCACGATTCTCTCACGATTCTGTAGATGTAAAATAAAGGTTAATAAGAGTCGGCAATTATTATTGTTTTTTCCCAAACATGGTAAAACAACAATAATATTATTATGTGTAGGTCTACTGGTTGCTATAAATAATTCTATTCTACTTCTAATAATTCTGATGTTGAATTATGTTTGAGATGTAGGCCTATGCTTGCAATCATTGACAACATTATTCGACCATTTGATTCACTGGTAAAATCAACATTATATAGGCTAGAGTACTTAAACTGACACTGTAAACATGTATTTTTATGCATAACTGTGTGTTCGCTATGAAAGAAAAAAACATATCAAATGCTTGTCGCAGTCATAACTCTAAAATGCGATATGATTATTAAAATGTGCACGTTTTCAGTTTCATTTTCAAAGCTAAGTGCTGTTCATACTTCACGCGCCGCTCTCAAACGATCACTCTGTGCCACAAACTGAATATTATTTACAATTTTTTACCTGTTACTCACAACATAACACTAAAAAAGACACCTAAAAATGTAATTTTTGTCTTCATATTATGCTGTATTCGTGGCCGGGAAATCACATGTGACGTGAGGTGCTGAGCGTGAGCTGTAGTGCGGGTGTGCGCGCGTCTATCATTAAGTAGGGCGCGTGCCCGCACTACAGCTCACGCTCAGCAAAAATTACATTTTTAGGTGAATTATACCTCATAAATATATAGTCAGAATGTGACTCTTTCAACATCATTTGGAGGTGTCCATGTCGCAGAGTATGGATGTGAAAGAATGAATCGTGCAGCCGCCGTTGCTACTCCCCTGAACTTGAAAATATGATTGGCAGAATCGTAGAAATGCTGAATTAAGATCGTCTAGTGGGTCGAATCGAGAATGCGATCTTTTTACGATTAATTGTGCAGCTCTAGCTTCTACATTCGTTCTTAATGTCAATTGTGGAAGGAATGATCGATAAAAGGTTTCTAAAAAAACGGTGTGACAGCTTCAGGCACTGTGTGAAGTGTGCGTACTGCCTTGAAGTGGTATGTTTCCCGCAAAATGTGCACATGTGGCCTCAAACCATATCGATATGAACAATACTGGATAATACCGCATCGTGTTGGGGAATATCGATATATCCCAGAACCTGATGTATTGTTCAGCCCTAAGTCAAATGTGAAATTTTCTGTTGTCTATATTAAACTTGAAACAGCAATAAAGAGCATTGCTATTCTTTCACTCCAGAGAAATCACAGTGAGTGATTTGACACAGTGAACATGCATTAAAGCAATACTCAGTGGTCTACATGTGCTTGTTACCTCAAATTACAAAAATATCTGGCAAATGTCACAATAAATTAACAAAAGATTCAATTAAACACACCTTATGCCTCTTTGAGGTGACGCTGAATAAATGTCTAATCTGTATATCCCGCATCTAGCTTTCTCTCAATCTCTAAAGCGATTCCTGATCGAGTCATTGCTTAAGAAAATATGTATGGCTGGATTTGACTTTGCTGCATCTGCTTTCAAAATAAGAGTCCCACATACATAGTAAGTTCTAAATAAGCTTTGATAGACTTATAAATAAGGGAGGATAAAAGTGGTGGGACAAAATATTGATATGCAGATATATCGATATAAAGTTTGACAACTTTATTAATCCCACTATGGGGCAATTAAATTAGAGTAGCATTTCATACAACAAACACATAAAGAGACAAATCACCTACAAACAGTATTAAAAAACACACAATCCAGCATGCTTCATAATAACTTCACAATTTTAATTTAAAACTTGCTAAAATGTAAGGTTGTAAAGCCTTATTGCCTCAGGAACAAAGGTAAAATTATATCTGTTAGAAGAGCATTTGATGCTTCTAAACCTTCTTCCAGAGGGCAAGAGAACACAAAAAGGCTTCAGAGGATGGGAGTCATCTCCTATCACACTTTGAGTTTTTTTGTGTTTTTCAGATTTGCTGTTTGTGTAACTCTGCTAGACTCTGCAGAGGTAAACCAATAATCTTGGAATAATCTCTGGTATTGATATCTGTCTAAATGTAAAAAGATCTGGATGAATTAATCAATTATAAGAAAGTCACACACCGAATGACACCGGATGCACACATTCTCATGTTATTTTATATGAAATTATTCAGATGGGGCTCTGTGGAAATATGAACAGTGTTCTGAGTTGAAGCGGGGTGCCATGGACAGCCGCTGACTTGCGGCGCTGGTGTGCATACTCTGAAAAAAATCTATGTTGGGAATCCTAACATCTATGTTGGGAGTGCCTTTACAATGACTGCAGACTTTACTGGCAATTTTTCCATTATGGCAGATTAACAATACATGAGAGCAGCGACCTTCTTGTGGTGAGGCAACAGTGCTAACCACTAAGCCTCTGTGTCAACCCCAAGCTACTTAATTCAAACAAAATTTATATTAGATAAGGATAAAGGGCCTTGCATTTATTTAAATGTTGCAAACCTTGAGAAAGTCTTGTCAATGATATTATGAACACTTTTGCTAAAAAAAATTAATAAAAATAGGAAAAAAATGTAATTACTTTAATTTGATAACTAACTATTGTTCTTCACTGCTGAAGTGATTATACAATGTTAAATACAGCGAAGTAGACGTCATATGCGGGAGCCTTTTCTGATGCGACAATCTTGTCTTAAAGGTTACAAAGACCCTGGCTGCTTCATGTACAAATTTATGTTTAGGTTTAAGTTATTGTAATCAAAACTTGTAGTTAAAATTACAAAAAATAATTACTGATTGTTGATTGTTTTTAGATGGGGTCACTATAAAGAAGATCTCTTTCATCAATATTTCTCCTAAGACAAATTTTCTAATAAAATTATCTGTAACATTGAAGCATGCAGGGCAGATTATATACATAAATAAATACAGTTAATTATTTGATATATTAAACTAAACAAACCACCCAAGCCTTTTCCATTCTAAGAATTACAGTTAAGTTAGTCCTTAAAAAACAATCCCTTTAAAAATAACAGAATTTATGAGGCTAATTTTACTAAAAAATAAACCGAATATGCAGTATGATCCATGTGTAACCCCCTTGATTCCACACCACCCAAGCCCCTCTGAGCTGGGATCGAATCATTGCCTCTAGCCCCTGTTGCTGGAGCACCTTTTAGAGGTCTGAGGAGTGAGGTTTATCTGCACAGCACTACACTAGCTGGCCTCTGTTATACATTCATAATGATTACAGTTAAAATAATGTAAACACTCATTTTATATATAAACTATATATATATAAAAAAGTAATAAATTAAGTAATGGAACATAAAATGTAAAAAAATAAAGACTCCTCGTCAAAGTTGAACATGACTGCGGCCTGTGCACACGCATCTGTTTAAAGCTTCATAAAGATCAGAGCTAACTGACACTATATCAGTAATAATCTGATGCTTGCTGTCAACTAGGCTATGTTATTTAAGGGTGTTCAACATTGATAGGATCTGTTGTTGTCAAACTTATGTTTCCTTTTTAATATTAAGATACTTTCTTTGAAATCTGTAATACCACTATTGACCCTTATCACTGATATTGTTTGCGCTACATTCATTCTTCCATGGTGGGGCGCCAAGCCAAAATTGTTCCCGCCATGGCTACATTACAGCTTTTCATTTAAAATATTTGTGTTTTTTTTTTTTTTTAATAGCAGGTAATAATCGCACCAAAACATATTAAAAGGTAAGTGAATTATAACTTATGCATTTGCGTAGAGACTCCTGGATGCATTTGCGTAGAGACTCCTGGATGCCTGCAAACAAATGATAATCTCCCGGAAATCATCTCTGTGTCCCCCGGAAATAAGTTTTGCCAACTTGGGACGTCTGAAATTGGTTGACATCACCCAACCCTAATTCACTGTGTGTTCTGTGCAAATGACCACTAATTGTAAAATCTAACACGGCAAACAACATCGCCTTTGCAAAGTTTAAACTAATAATGCAGCTCATGACAAAGACCTGTATTGTGCAGATCCAAGTTGTCATCGGGAGAATCCTCCTCTCACATTCTCAGATTCTCCAGTTTAACATCACAGAAAAATGTAAGTCTGCGAATAACCAAACTGTGCACTTAAAATGTGCACTTTTCTCAGAGCATGCATGTGTTCTCTCTCAAACACAGGTGCATGTGCCCAGGTCGTTGCCATAGACACAAACCAAAACTTTTAAAGAACGGTAGAGGCCAGAATCTTCATCCTTTTTTTGTCTGTTCTGTCTTGAGATGCATATTATGATTCTATTTAGTAAGGGTGTTACGATCCTCCAAATCCTCGATTCGATTACATTTTCGATTCTAAAGGCACGATTCGATTCGATTTTCGATTATGAATAATTAATTAATTAATGACCAATTAATTATTTGTAGCCTACCGTTTAAACTACCTGACCTGCATGGTCTTTGTTTTACCCATAAACAAATCATACAGTAAATGAATGAAGGCAAGATACACACATTATTACCACCTGTCAATCACTTTTTCTGCGGGACTCGTGAATAGGCAGTGATCTGTGTCGTTATAATGGCGTCGGTAAAAAAGACGCACAACCAACAGGAATTAGCCAACAGTATCTGAGGTGTTCGCTAAAATGACTAAGTACAAGTGAGTGAAAGATTGAAGCAGTCCTCTGACTGCCTGGACCTGCTGTCTTGAGCGCATGGCTGTGTGTGCGTCTGTGTCTGTGTGGTCACGTGATGTGCATTTTCAGAGGTAGAGAGGAAGGAGGGCTGCTCAGAAGTGCTACACGCCACTGTGGATGTCAAATCGTTGTCGTTCTAAAATGCCATTTAAAAACAAAGACAGTGTAAACAGGGCCTGAGTGTGTACTTTTCGCAAACGGATTTGCAACGAGGGCGGGCGGAGGATCGCGATGCCGGTGTTGTCTATCGGACGAACCGTACGTAATACGTACATAGCAGAGTTTGCAAAACTGTGTTTTTTTTGTCGACAACACGAACGTTGTCAACATAACTCACTGGAAATCCAAAATGCTTTAACACCGGCGACTTCATTGAAAGAGGAGAGGGTTTAAGTTCTGTCGACGGGTCTCCTGCTTCTGCAGTTTAACAAGCACTTCAACAAGCCTGTTTATTTCCCGCTTGGCAAGCCAAGCTGACGTGACATGGGGGCATGGCAGCATCTACGATTCTATTTTTTGATTCGATAATCGAAGTTAAGCATAAATTTCGATCAATTCCGATTTGACACCCTTACTATTTAGTTACTGGTTTTGCAACTTTCAGCTTTGAATAAGTGTCCCTACATTTTTTTCTGGCGCTCCTAAATTTTGACGTCAGGAGCACTGGTGCTACCAAATAAAAAATGTAATTTCAAGCCCTGCGACATATCAGTCTGTGTTTTGGTTGATGAAATTTTAATCAAATCCACAACAAAGGGTTTCACTTAAATGAGTTCCAGAGTCACTTTAGATTTGAAAACATAGTGGAGTTTTAGCAGCTCATTAAAGCAATTAACACATTTTTTGAGCTAATATTTGCTTTTCAACAGCAGCAAAAAAAAAACAAAAAACTAATCTGGACAGAAGAAATGAATTGCATTTCACAGCTAACGAAGTGAATAAAAAAAAAAAAATTACATCAGAGTGGGCGGTAGATGGGTCGGTCAGTCTGATCTAAATACTGTATAAATGAAAAGACAGAAAGGAGAGCAGAACAAACTCCTAACAGGAGGAGACTCACTCATGCCCTACGAGACAGAGGATCAGGAGACTCAATACTGCTTTCCTAACATCAACTCATCATGCGTCAAGGAACAACGCTCCAGTCATGGATATATCATCATATATGTGTTTGTGTCATTGCTGTCAGCATGGACTGTGTTTCTGAACCTGCTGGTGATCATCTCCATCTCTCACTTCAAGAAGCTTCACACTCCAACCAACATGATTATTCTCTCTCTGGCTGTAAATGATCTGCTTATTGGACTCGCCATGCCTATGGAGGCCATCAGAATGATTCAGACATGTTGGTATTTTGGAGACACTTTCTGTGGAATTTATATATTATTTGTGTCAATACTTCTCGCAGCATCTCTTGGTAATTTACTTTTAATTGCTGTTGATCGTTATGTGGCTGTTTGTCACCCTTTATTTTACCCACGGAAAACAACAATGGCTAAAATATTAATAACTATCTGTCTGAATTTTGCTTGTTTATCAGCATATAACACTGCCTTTGTAATTAATAATGGATATTTTGACACTTCACACAGAACAGATGTGTGTTATGGACAGTGTTCAGTCATGATACGTTTTAGCTGGATAGTCACTGATCTGTTCATGTCTTTTATTTTTCCTTGCACTCTGATCATGATGTTTTATTTGAGGATTTTCTATGTGGTTCATCAGCAAGTGAAGGTTATAAACTCTCTGATGAAGGGTGGTAAATGTGTAACGGAGGGTTCAGGGAAGAGGAAATCTGAGAGTAAAGCTGCTCTGACTTTAGGAATCATTGTGTCAGTGTATATGCTTTGCTGGATTCCATATTATATCTGTTCTCTAACTGTAAACTCTTACACAGCTATAAATGTTTTAATATTTGGTGTACATGCTAGCTCTGGTCTGAATCCTCTGGTTTATGCTTTATTTTACCCCTGGTTTAAAAAGACAGCTAAACTCATTTTAACTCTGATGATATTTCAGCCGGCGTCCTCTCTTATCAATGTTTTTACACATGAATTATAATTATTTGCAAATCTGTCACTAATAAATTTGTAATTTTCACTAAAGTTGCACAGCATTACATGGCTTATTTCATCCTGTAAGTTTGATGTTTAGTAAAAAAAAGAATTGTGACAGTAGTACACATTATTACTGTGTGAATTAGATATGGTGTGGGGGTTGTGAGGGTCATCTTGCTTTATGCTGCATCCCATATAATATTTTTATAACATTCATAACTGCTATGAAAACTATGTTTGTTCCCAAAATCACCTGTTTATTTATAATAAATTTCATACTTGTTTTTTTTCTTGAATCTGAAAAACAAATGTTGAAGTGTTTTGTGGCCAACGCCATGTTCATACGAACACGGTTATTTTCAAAACTGCACTTTTTTTATACACTAAACTATACTAAAACCAAAACTATCTGAAAACCCAAGATGAAGATTTTCAGAAACTCTGGGTACAGTGTGGTCATGTGGAGACTACAACCAGAGTTTTTGCCTCATGATGTCAGTGAGCAAGCGGTTTTCTTCTTTTCTGGTTGGCTGGAGTGCGGAAGACACACAGTTTAGCATATTCTACACGCTCACACCACATGCATCATGTATTCCATATCGTTTGCACAGTGGGACAGTAATCCGCCTGTTTTGTTTGCATTGACTTGTATGCGGTTTACTTGCGAAAACACTTAATGCTCTGTTGGTTCGGCATGCCCAAAACATAAATCACATCAAGTTTTTTTCAGTTTCATGTAGATTTTTAACAAAAATTAAAGCAGGGGAACTCTGTTTATAAAAATAATTGCGTATGAGTGGACATGTAATGAGAGTTAAAGAATGAGGTCAGTGGTGTGAGTGATAATGAGCGTCATCTGTGCAGCAAACCTGTCTCTAGCCCATCAGAAGAGCTCCAGAAGGAAAAAAGTAGAGCTGATGACAGTGAAGGACCAGCAGACCATGCCTCAGACTCTTTACATTTATGTTCTGGTTATATTTATGTCTATTTATCAAGAACTGCTGCTTGTTTTAATTATTTTTGGATTAGATTTAATTTATAGTTTTCACTCACTAGTTTAAGCCCTCTTCTTTCATGAAGCATTTATTATATTAATGTTACAATAAATGTCACAATAGAGAAAATATTTTTTCAATGTGTTTGTTTCTACTGTAGCTTTCTCCAGGCAGATATATCAGTGTTTCCTCTAGGATTTTTTCCAGCTGTGGCGGCAGACTTTAATGCGTCCTGAAGTACAGTGAAACGGCTATAAACTCCAGCAAGATGAAGTTATTATATGCAGAGCCACAGACCGTTATCTATAAATAAAGTATAATTATGGAAGCTGTGTTCATCATAACTGAAAGCTAAGCCGTGTTTGCTGGTCTCTCGCATCACGCACCTGTCAGTCAGTCAGTCAGCATGTCACCTTAAAGGCACAGTACTAGTACGGTCACAGAAAAGTTTGCGCTGTTCTTATTCACTTACCTTTAAATATGTTTTCAGTGAAAAAAAATGACCGAACATTTTGAATAAGAAGCTGTAATGTAGCTGTGGTGGGATGAATTTTGGTGTGACACCCTGCCACGGAAGAATGAATCAAAAATCATGCTTATTTTCGATTATCGAATCAAAAAATGGAATCGTTGATGCTGCCACGCCCCCATGACACGTCAGCTTGGCTTGCCAAGCGGAAAAAAACACACTTGTTGAAGAGCTTGTTGAACTGCTGACGCAGGAGACCCGTCGACAGAACTTAAACCTTCTCCTCTTACAATGAAGTCGCCAGTGTGAAAGTATTTTGGATTTCCAGTGAATTATGTTGACGATGTTCGTGTTGTCAAGAAAAAAAAAAAACAGTTTGCAAGCTCCGCTATGTATTACGCCCCATTCACATGGGGCTTCAGCGTCAATGCTTGACTGAAGGCTGTCTGAAGGTGGGGCTGAAGCGATCGTCATGGAAGCGTTAGCCAATGAGATTCAGTCAGCAATAGGCCACTGTCTAGCAGATGTATTTGCATATACAGCGATCTGATTCGCTGACGCTTCCATCGGCGCTTGAAAAGTTGAGCTAGTCCCAACTTCTGCAGCGAGCAACGCCTCTGAAGCGGCGCCGACAGATCCACAATGCAGTTTGGCAACGCCTGACATCACACATTCAAAGTGAATGGGAAGCGTTGACTTGAAACCCTGTGTGAATGGGGCGTTAGGGTTGGGCCGATAGACAACACCAGAATCGCAATCCTCCGCCCCGTCCCCGTTGCAAATCCGCTCTGGAAAAATACACACTCAGGCCCTGTTTACATTAATAGGTCTTTTAAATGGCATTTTATAACGATAACGATCCACATCCACACTTTCTGAGCAGCCCTCCTTCCTCACTACCGCTGAAAACGCACCTCACGTGATCACACACACACACAGGCGGGAGCGCACACACACAGACGCACACACATTGTCATGCGCTCGAGACAGCGGGTCCAGGCAGTCAGCGGGTCAGTAGACTGCTTCAATCTTTCACTTTCACACTTGAACTTGGTCATTTTAGCGAACATCACAGATACTGTTGGCTGTGCACCTTTTTTACTGACGCCATTATAAGGACAAAGATCACTGCCTATTTACGAGTCCCGCGGAAAAAGTGATTGACAGGTGGCCATTATGTGTGTAACTTATCTTTATTCATTTACTGTATGATTTGTTTATGATTTTGTTTAATTTTTCTTTTTTAAATCGAAAATCGAATCCAACTGTGATTTTAGAATTGAAAATGTAATCGAATCAAGGATTTGGAGGATCGTGACACCCTTATCTGAAACCAGATTGAAAATTGTCTAAACATTCTTTGGAGCGTAAGATCTTATTAACCTGATTAAAAACTACTTTTTCAATGATTTCGCCAATAAAATGGGAGATTTGAGAGTCACCTGTAATTGCTCAATAATTACAAAACAAATGATAAATTACAAAACAAAATATATATCAATTTGTTCTGTGATGATGTTACCACAGGAGAAAAAGTTATGACTAGGGATGCTCATTTCGGTTAATTTTGCTAACTGACAACCGCTGCTTGTTAATGGATTATTAACGGTTAACTGGTCAGATTACTATTAACTTTTATAAACAAAGTGACGAGTCTATTTTGTGTCTGATACATTAAATATTGCATTTTAAAATACTGATTTATTTTACCATGCTAGCATATTAATGGCAGAACATAACAACAGAGCATCTTCACGCACCTGCAGTGTTTAGCACAGAAGAACAGAATAAATTAAATAAAATGAATAAAATAAATAGGCCTGCCCTAAAATATTTTCCACTTGAATATTTAAGTTATATTACAAAACGAAAACACTGAATGATTCTTTTTAAAAATGGCCATAGTCTGTTTTTTCAGTCATGTTTTTTTTCTTGTCAAATAAAAATAGCTGACTTCCTCAAATCGCTCGCTCCACAGAGAATATGCATTTATTTAATGCCCCGCTGTTATTATTATATCACAAAACCTTTTTACATTTTTAATAGAAATCATTATTTTAAAGATTATGTCTTGCTATATGGCTTCCTCTCTTTCTCTCGCTGTTTAAGTGCGCGTGCTGCATGATGAAAAGACAATGACAACATGCGCATATGTAGACTTTTTGTAAACAGTTTTGTTGTTTAAATATGATTTGGCAATAATGTGCATACATGCATTCTTCCATTTTGCGTCTTTGGCAAATATGTCTGTAGGCACGGGTCATATGTTATCGTCCCACAAGTTCAATTCAATTTAATTCAATTCAGCTTTATTTGTATAGCGCTTTTACAATGTAGATTGTGTCAAAGCAGCTTCACATAAATGGTCATAGTAACTGGAACATTGTAGTTCAGTTTTTAGTGTTTAAGTTCAGTTCAGTTCAGTTTAGCTCAGTTCAGTGTGATTTAATCATTACTGAGAGTTCAAACACTGAAGAGCAAATTCATCAATGCGTAGCTCTACCAATCCTGAACCATGCGAGCCAGTGGCGACAGCGGAGAGGGAAAAAAAACTTCACCTGATGGGAGTGAAGAAAAAAAACCTTGAGAGAACCAGACTCAGTTGAGCACGACCATTTTAATTTCTCCGCTGGCCAAAAGTCTTGTGCAGACAAGTTAACAAGTATGTCTTGCAGTTGAACAAGGGGCCGAGCTAATGTGCTTTCCATTCCAAAAACATGAGGCGCACCCTATTCCATTTATGTTGGCAAGGAAAAAAGAAGAAAAGAAGCCCGGTCCTCTTTTTTGTCATTATGAAACAACTGAATCAGCTGGGTATCGACTGTGCAAAAGTGTTGCTGTCTGTGTTGTTACAATTGTAATATTTAATAATATTGTGATATTCAAGATTTGTACATTCAAACAGCTCTAGATAACTTGAAACGGCGATTAGACCTACATTGCGGCATTAATGCGTCCTGAAGTAAAGCAAAACGGCTATAAACTCCAGCAAGATAGAGTGACTATATGCAGAGCCACAGACCTTTATCTATAAATAAAGTATAATTATGGAAGCTGTGTTCATCTTAACTGAACGCTACGTTGTGTTTGCCAGCCTCACACATCACGCACCTGTCAGTCAGTCAGCCAGTCTTATGGTTTGTATTAAAAAACTAAAAAATTAGAAAACAGATTTTTTTTTTTTTGATAGATTACATCAGAGTGGGCGGTAGATGGGTTGGTTAGTCTGATCCAGACACTGTATAAATGAAAGGACAGAAAGGAGAACAGAACAAACTCCTAACAGGAGGAGACTCACTCATGGCCTACGAGACAGAGGATCAGGAGACTCAATACTGCTTTCCTGACATCAACTCATCATGTGTCAAGGGGAGACGCTCAAGTAATGGATATATCATCATATATGTGTTTGTGTCATTGCTGTCAGCATGGACTGTGTTTCTGAACCTGCTGGTGATCATCTCCATCTCTCACTTCAAGAAGCTTCACACTCCAACCAACATGATTATTCTCTCTCTGGCTGTAAATGATCTGCTTGTTGGAGTTGTCATGCCTGTAGAGGCCATCAGAATGACTGAGACGTGTTGGTATTTTGGAGACACTTTCTGTGGACTCTATTTATTTTTTGTGTCTTTACTTCTCGCAGCATCTCTTGGTAATTTACTTTTAATTGCTGTTGATCGTTATGTGGCTGTGTGTCACCCTCTACTGTATACACAGAAAATAACCATCACTAAAATGTTAACAAGTATCTGCCTGTGCTGGGCTTGCTTTTCAACTTACTGCACTACCTTTGTAATTGATAATAGAAATTTTGACACTTCACACAGAACAGATGTGTGTTACGGAGAGTGTTTAGTAATGATAAGTCTTAGTTGGTTAGTCATTGATCTGTTCATGTCTTTTATTTTTCCTTGCACTCTGATCATACTGTTATATTTGAGGATTTTCTATGTTGTTCATCAGCAAGTGAAGGTTATAAACTCTCTGATGAAGCGTGGTAAATGTGTAACAGAGGGTTCAGTAAAGAGGAAATCTGAGAGTAAAGCTGCTCTAACTTTAGGAATCATTGTGTCAGTTTATCTGCTGTGCTGGATTCCATATTGCATCTGTTCTCTAATTGTAAACTCCTCCACAGCTCTAAATGTTATAATATGGACTGTGTATGCTAACTCAGGTGTGAATCCTCTGGTTTATGCTTTATTTTACCCCTGGTTTAAAAAGACAGGTAAACTCATCTTGACTCTAAACATATTACAGCCAGCATCCTCTGTAATCAATATTTTTACACAAAATAAACTATAATTAATTACAAAGCTGTCACTAATATAGATAACATATTTGATTTCACTTTGTAATTTTCACTAATCATGTTATATCACACATAGCTTACTTTAACCTGTAAGTTTGATGTTTAAGTGTACTGCTGTGAAAACAAGACCAAGATCCGTGACAATAGTAGGCATTAACTGTGCGAGTTAGGTATGGTATGGGTAATGTGAGGCACATCTTGCTTTATCCTATATAATAATATTTATAATATTCATAACTGCCATAATAGAGGAAATATATCTGTATAGTGACATATGCTTCAATGTGTTTGTTTCTACTAGTTTGAGCACAAAAGTCATAAAATACAAATCAAGAGTGATGATGATCATGAGCAGAGAGGATACTTGTGATTTAGACATGCTGTATTTAACTGATACTCTAAACCAGCAGTAAAATAATGCTAAATAAAAAATGTAGACATGAATTTAATGTAAATGTCATACAGAATAAAGGAAAGCTTATAAATGTTTACAACAAATCACTGTCATAGAGAGAGAATGAAGTTCAGCTTGAAGATCTGCTGAGCAATGACCCGGTCTTTCAGGTTTGTGCTTTATAATCACAACATTGGTCAAATCAGACCCTTCCTATTAGAAAACACAGTAAAACTACTTCAAGCTCTTGTGATTTCATGAATGGACTACTGCAGAGCTCTATCAGCAGGCATTCAAACCAGCATAAATAAGCCAGAATACAGCTTCATGTCTGCTCTTCAGTCGGCCAAAAGTGTTTTTTTGTGACTCAAATGTGACATTTTCTGTTCTCGATATTAAACTAGAAACAGCAATGAAGTGCATTGCTATTCTTTCACTCCAGAGAAATCACAGTAACACTGAGTAATTTAACAGTGCTTTAACATGCATTAAAGGCAATACTCAGCGATCTACATGTGTTTGTTACCTCAAATTACAAAAATATCTGGCAATTGTCACAATAAATTAAAAGATACAATCAAGTATACCTCTGAGGTGGCGCTAAATAAATGTATCATCTGTATATCTCGCATTTTGCTTTCTCTCAGTCTAAAGTGATTCTTCATGGTGTCATTAGCAATGCATACAAAACAAAATTTGTGTGGCTGGATTTGACTTTGCTGCATCTGCTCTCAAAAAAAAAAAAGAGTCCCACATAGTAATTACATAGTAAGTTCTAAATAAGGTTTGATTGACTTAAATAAGGGAGATATAGGGGTGGGACATAATATCGATTATGTTTATATATCATGACTCTAGTATCAATGTTTCTAAATGTGCAAAAGATCTGGTTTAATTAAGAAGTATTAAGACGCTGGTGTGAATATCCTGATAGATATGTTTAGAATTCTAAAATGCTTGCCGTTGCATGGTACAGTGCCATGCAGCGCCATGAAACAGCCACTAAGCCAATGTGTCGCCCCAAACTACTTCATTCAGACAATATTTATAATAAAGATACAGGACCTTGCGTTTATTTAACCATTGCAAATCTTGAGAAAGTCTTGTAAATGATATCATGAACACTTTGGCTGAAAATATTAAAGAAAGGACCATGAAACCCCCGTTTCAGCAGGGTTTTTTCACACCTCTACTTTGGAAAAAGTCAGGAAAGTGGGCGTGTCCAGCTCTGTTTAGGGGGGAGTGTCGGAGGAGGGAAAAGAGGGAATGTCCGTAACAATTTGCATAAAAATGGGAGTGCCAGTTTGGGCACATGCTGATATTTACAATGGCAAATCAAACACACAGACGCAGGGCAGAAAGACAGTCACTGTGTTTACATGGACATCAGTAATCAAGTTATTTGCCAAATTATTAAATGGTGGACTTTAACTACAGTTTGGCTCTTTCATTCAGGAATTTTATTCATGCCCCTCGTGACAAATGAGATATTTGAGTTGAGGAGCTGCGTGTATCTTTCCTGCAATGTTTGATAACGTACGGCGAATGAGAGAAAAAAACCTCTGCATTTCTCTGTAACTTAGATGCACTCGGTAGTGTCAGAAAGCCGTGTTTGTTATTCCTGTCACAAAATGCGGCGAAAATCCTACACAATGGTAAGTTTGATGGTGGTCCTTACATGTTTACACTCATAGAGCAGCATTTACATCAGATCTTTCAGTCCAAAATATTGTAGTGTTAATAACATATGGTAAAATTTTATTAACTAAGAAATCATTTGAATAAGGTCTGTCTTTAAAAACTGAAAGAGTACAAACTAACTTTGCCTCTGAATAAACAAAGACTACTGGTCGCTCACTTACCAAATCTATAGAGACAGAACAATCAACAACAACTGGAGCAGCGTCTTAATTATAAGGACATGAGCAACAAATCTGTATGTCACCATTTCCAGATGAGAAAAGCTCTCGGGTAAAAAAAATATTTCAACACATCACTGGGAAACATCCATTCACACTCATTTACACACATACAATTTGGTACAATTTAGCTTACCCAATTCACCTGTACTGCATGTCTTTGGAAACCGGAGCACCCGGAGGTAACCCACACGAACGCAGGGAAAACTTGCAAACTCCACACAGAAACGCCAACTGACCTAGCCTAGGCTCGAACCAGTGACCTTGCTGTGAGACGACAGTACTACCTACTGCACCACCGCGTCGCCATATACTAGGCAGTGTACATGTGCTTGTTACCTCAAATGACAAAAATTTATGGCAAATTTCACAATAAATTAACAAAATATACAATTAAACATACCTTTACGCCTCTTTGAGGTGGCGCTGAATAAATGTCTAACCTGTATACCCCGCATCTAGCTTTCTCTCAATCTCTAAAGCAATTCCTCAGAGTCATTGCTTAACACACATAGAAAAAAAAATATGTATGGTTGGATTAGACTTCGCTGCGTCTGCTTTCAAAATAAGAGTCCCACATACATAGTAATCTTTATATAAGCTTTGATAGATTTATAAAAAAAATAGGGTTGGGACAAAATATTGATATTAGCACTAAATCAAAATATTGATTTAGCACGCGGAGGCGCACTAAACTCACACGGGAAAGAACTGGACATTTAATTTATGTTTTAGTTAACTAATTCTTTAAATACAACTCTCTTGATCTCTAAAGGGGAAAAAACGCAAAAGAAATTATTAAATGTCCTTAAATAAATTTTAGCAGCGACGCAACTGCCTGTCATTTTCACATTCGTTTTTCAGTTAGGGATTAGGTCTATTACCCTAATAAACATCTTTTTGTTGGACACAGCACAGTATTCTACACTATAATCAATATTATAATTTATTATATTCATTATTAAAACTAATAAGCGTTACAATTGATAAAACACAAAACCCTTTTTAATGTTTGCTTTCAATTTAGGATCACTAACAGTTGTAATAAGAAACATCCGATTATGCAGCAGCAGTCTCAAGTTAGGGCACTTAAAAATGCCTTTTGAGTTTAAAGATGATCAGCCTGCCGTGCCAAGTCAAGTTTACAGGGTCATAACTGAAACCGGTATATTGCATTTAATTTAAACCACTGGTCTGATGCCGAAGCCATAATTCGTCTGCACTAATAAACGGCATTGTTGCATAACCTTCTTTGATGAAATCTAATAGTGAAATTGCATACTATTGTTATTATTAAGAGTATAATTCTACCTTAAGTAAGTAACTTAGGCAGTAATGCTAAGCAATAAATAAGTGAATAAATAGCCTAAATGAAATTAACAAGAGAGACCGAAATCACAAAGTGCCCCAAATATGGCATTAAAATGCCCCCTCAGTTATGACAATTTAGCGCCGGGCCTGCTATCGACCTTATTCTGAAATGCGGAAGTGTGCCTGTTTTCGCAATTGTTTCAGAACTTCCAATTTAGTCGCCTATGGGAGAAATGACTAGGAATAATAAACAGCAAAAAACTTTCAAACTACTTGCTCTACAAACAAATGTTTGCATGACTATACAGACCAAGTAGAATAATATAATAAAAAAATATCAGTTTGCAACATCAAACAGCGAAACGAGCCGTTTTTAATATCTAAAGATGAATGGAAGTGAATGAAACCGGAAGTCTCGAGCCATGAAGATTCAAATGGCTGCGCCTGCTCGTCGATGAAGAATAAGGTGAATAGCCATACTTGATTGTTTGTAGCGAGAAGAAAAAAAAAAACTGATAAAAACCTGGCTGGGCAAACGGCGATAACATGGATTATCTGTTCTTCAGAAAAAATCATAGACACGACATTGTGAAGGCGTTTATCATACAACACAGTTCGTGTTTATGATCATCTATGATTAACTAATATTATATAAACATATTAATTACTCTTCTCTCTCTAGACTTTGTTTTAGAGCTTGTTCTTGTCGGCGCAATATAGGTTTATTGCATGTACGAATTCGATTATGAAGAATGATTAAGAGCTTGCATTTTTTTGTTGCATCCTTTTCGCAAGTTTTTTATTTATCTATTTATTTAAGTGGTGAGAACACTATTCACTGGCAAAAATGTTCCTCCTGTACCACCAACAAATATGGTAGCCTACCTAAGTTAATTTACCTTTTATGTAAAAATTAAAGAATAACTTATAACTTAATTAAACGGCCATGAAACCCCCTCATTTCAGCAGGGTGTTTTCACACCTCTACTTTGGAAAAAGTCAGAAAAGTGTCGGAGAAAGAAAAGAGGCATTGTGTGGGAGTGTCTATTTGGGCGCGCTGAGTTTCAGAGCCAAAATACACACACACAGTGGACAAAGTGACTGTGTTTACATGGACATCTGTGGTCGAATTATTTGCCAAATTAATAAATGTTGGACTTTTACTGCAGTTTGGCTCTTTCATTCAGGGAATTCATTCATGTCCCTCACGACAAACCAGATATTTGATTCGAGGAGCTGCTCTAAGCGTGTATTTTTCATGCAATGTTTGATACCACACGGCGAATGAGAGAAAAAAAACCCTCAGCATTTCCCGCAAACTTAGATGCACACGGCAGGTAGCGTCAGAAAGCCGCGTGTGTTATTCCGGTCACAAAATGCGGTGAAAATCCTACACGTGGTTAAAGTTTGGTTGTAGTGCTAACATGTTTACACTCGGTGCAATAGTTTGTTCGATACGAACAAACTGAATAAACAAAGAGCACTGGTCTCTCACTAACCAAATCTGTAGAGACAGGACAATCACCAGCAACTAGAATCTTTATTAAGAGGAGACTAAAGCGAATCCGGATCTCAGCGTTTGCAGATGAGAACAGCTCTCAGGTAAACAATAATCCTCCTAAGACACGTAAGTTATTGTTGCCGAGCGTTGCGTACACTGTTAATCCAAGCGTGACTCCAGCTGCGCTCTCACAGAGAGAAAATGAAAACAAAACTTCACTGCAGCAAACTATAAAAGCAACACTTCACGCTTGTTTTGCCAACACAACGTGGCGTCTGTGTCGTGTAAACACTGACAGTAATGAATATTAATGAAGTTGCACAATAGAGCGCGCTGATTGGTTTGAACCAAGCTTTACTCATGCATTAATGCAACACACTGTAAGACGTAATAAGACTCACTCTGGCACAGACGTCCAGTCTGCACGCTGGAATACACGCTATTATGTCATGGCCGTGACGCAGCTTCAAAAATTAGTTTCAAACCGGAAGTACGAATTTGCTTGAAATAACGCAAAAACAACCAATTTACACTTTTTAGTGAAATATAGGTGTCCTAATAGTGTTTTTAGCAGTGTGGGACACATATACGACTGTCAACAGCTCAAAAAATGTGTTTTGGTGTTTCGTGACCCTTTAAATATTAATTAATAAAACATTCGTATAAACGTACGTTTTTATTTTTGAACTTTTGTTAATAAAACAACACAATACTGCTTTTAAATAATATTATAATATTAAATATTATTAATATTAAATATTAATAATAATAATAATTAATAATAATATTAAATAATATTAAATATTAAATAACTTGAACTGCTTAAAATCCTATAACAATAATTAAACTTTACATTTTTAAGAACTTCACAAATAGTCTAAATGGCACTTTACTAATCAGTAATAATATAAATATTAACAAGTCAGATGTTTAAAAAAACAGTGTAGGTTCTGTCTACCTTTTTGTCATCTATTTATATTTTAAAGTCTTTGCCAGAAAAACTAACGTGTTGACTTTGTCCGGTTTAAGTGAAGACCTAATTGGGGTTATAATGTTTCCAGCAATACACGTTCAGACGGTGTGCTTGTAGAACAAATGCACAGATACATTTTCAAAACCGTGCAAGAGAGGGTTTCTTGCTTCATTGCTCCGCCACCCGCATTTCTCGGAAAGCAGGTTTGTCTACACTGCGGTGCTGCGCGTTCTTAACTAAGTTACTAAATATGTTGCTCCATTTCTCAATGTCTTCCATTTATCACTTTCTCTTTTGTATCTGGCCATTTTTGGAAATGCCTCTGCGATACCTGGCTGACTAGCTGGGCGTTTGAGTTCAGAAGACAGGAGTTGATTATAGCCTACATGGCTTTTTTTTCCCTCGCCGCCGTCAATCGCCACTAGCTTGCATGGTTCGGGACCCGTGGAGCAGCGCATTGATGGATTTGCTCTTCAGTGTTTGGATGCTGAGCAGTGAATATTAAACCACACTTCACCACTTTTTAACACTTTTCTTTTTTAAAAAAACAAACCCTACAAAAAGCTTAATCCAAATTAATTGGTTTACCTTTCTCGGTCAACACGAATCCAAAATGTTCCCAGATGTAAAACTTCATTTTCCAACAAGATTCATGGTTGAACTTGAACTTGCTGAATCGTGCCTAATGTTATATTCTAACAGAAATGTAATACTTGGCAACATAACGGCAATTTGTGTTTTAAAGTGCGTGACGTCAAATACTACCGCCGGTAACAATAGACAACCGCGGTGGCAACTGACCACCACGGTGATGCGGTTGTCACAGTGACCGTCACAGCCCTACAAACAATACCTCACCTACAATCCTTGCTGGTATCAAGACTCTTGCAACCTTTGGGAAACAATCCAAACTCATTGACTATTAGGCCACAACTGCCCCCTGACAGACCAACAACATTGATTGAAACAATTGATGAAATGACACCAATGTTTTTCACTTTGGATTTCACTCTGGATTAAAAAATGTACAGCAGCTGATTAAAGCAACTAAAGTCATTGTTGAGCTGAACTTTACTTTTCAACAGCAGCAGTAAACCATAAGCTGAACAGAAGAAATGGCTTGCATTTCAAAGATGATGCAAAATGTTTTTGGTTTTTTTGATAGATTACATCAGAGTGGGCGGTAAATGGGTTGGTCTGCCTGATGCAGACATTGTATAAATGAAAGGACAGAAAGGAGAGCAGAACAAACTCCTAACAGGAGGAGACTCACTCATGGCCTATGAGACAGAGGATCAGGAGACTCAATACTGCTTTCCTGCCATAAACTCATCATGTGTCAAGGAGAGAAGCGCAAGTCATGGATATATCATCATATATGTGTTTGTGTCATTGCTGTCAGCATGGACTGTGTTTCTGAACCTGCTGGTGATCATCTCCATCTCTCACTTCAAGAAGCTTCACACTCCAACCAACATGATTATTCTCTCTCTGGCTGTAAATGATCTGTTTATTGGACTCATCATACCTATAGAGGCTATCAGACAGATTGAGACTTGCTGGTATTTTGGAGACACTTTCTGTGGACTTTATTTATTATTTGTGTCATTACTTCTGGCAGCATCGCTTGGTAATTTAGTTATAATCGCTGTTGATCGTTATGTAGCTGTGTGTCACCCTCTACTGTACCCACAGAAAATAACAATCACTAACATGTTAAAGAGTATCTGTCTGAGCTGGGTTTGCTTTTCAGCTTACTGCATTACCTTTATAATTAATAATGGAAGTTTTGACACTTCACACAGAACAGATGTGTGTTATGGACAGTGTTTAATGATAATAAGTTTTAGTTGCTTAATCATTGATCTGTTCATGTCTTTTATTTTTCCTTGTTTGCTGATCATCACTTTATATTTGAGGATTTTCTATGTGGTTCATCAGCAAGTGAAGGTTATAAACTCTCTGATGAAGGCTGGTAAATGTGTAACGGAGGGTTCAGTGAAGAGGAAATCTGAGAGTAAAGCTGCTCTGACTTTAGGAATCATTGTGTCAGTTTTTCTGCTTTGCTGGATTCCTTATTACATCTGTTCTCTCACTGTCAACTCTTACACAGCTATAAATGTTTTAATATTTGGGGTACATGCTAGCTCCGGTCTGAATCCTCTGGTTTATGCTTTATTTTACCCCTGGTTTAAAAAGACAGCTAAACTCATTTTAACTCTAAAAATATTTCAGCCGGCATCTTCTCTGATCAATATTTTTTTACAAGATTAATTATAATTACTTCCAAAGCGGGCACTAATATAGAAATAATATTTGATTTCTATTTGTAATTCTCACTACTCATGTTATGTCACACACAGCTTATTACAACCTGTAAGCTTGATCTTCAAGTAAACTTATGACGTAGGCCTACTTCTGTGAAAACAAGATAAAGAAGTATGACAGTGGTATTCATTATCAACTGTAAATAAGGTATGGAGATGGGGGGTTTTGTGGCTGAGATTACTTTGTGTTTACTCCCACATAATTATACTCAAAACATTTATGAAAACTGTGTTTGCAAGCAACAAATACTGTTATTAAACATAAAACCACTTATTGAAGTTTTCAGGGCATGGATTCAGTCAGTCAGTTAAACAGTGATATATTTATTTATTTATTTATTATCCTACATTTTTTATAGCCTACTATCATTGTAAAAACAGTACAAATAAAAGCAAACTATTATCTAACTACTAAGTGTTTATGTTTATAGTGTTTTGTCGTCAGTGCTTTAACCATGACAGGACAAATGTACTGACATGAAACTTACGACAGTGAAAACAGAAACATATAATACTCTTATTCCAGCCATGTTTGAGAACGGTTTTATTCAGGATTAAAGGAATAGCTCACACAAAAATGAAAACTACCTCATAATTTAGTCAAGAGTAAGACTTTTATTATTTTATTACTTTTAGTATTTTTTAAATTTATCATAGCTCTTCCATGCTGTATAAAGGTGTTGGACATTTGAAAGCTTTTATTTTGAAGTTTCCATAAATCTGTGTGTTTTTGTTATTAATTTTTAAATGATAAACTCCTGTTTTGAAGTGACTGCATTCACATTGTGATTAGAACAATAAATAACTGATGAATACAACTTATGTATTCGAGACGTGACACGGGATGTGACAAGATTCCAGCGACAAGCAATTTTTCTGTCTGCACCAAAAAGATGTGACATGGCCCGAACATTTAAATACCAGCCACTGCACTCCCAATGAAATGGTTAAGGCTTTTAATCTACTGAATATATACAGCATATTAAACCTCTTTATGATTATTAATAGGCTGCTAAGTGATGGATTTTGATGGTTTGCACCGAGTCACAGTTCTGACTTTCATTTTCACATTGTCTGCTGTTACTTTATTTTTAAGATCTGAGATGAACTGCTGAGGCGAAGATCTTCTGCTGCTTTCAATAGTATGACATTAAATGGTACATAAAATGGTATTTAATTGGTATTCATCACAGGCTTAAGTGTAATTCCACATCCGTGAACACATTACAATAAGCAAGAAATTATTTTTTGGGGTGAATTATATCTTATAAATATAGTATGTGACTTTTTCAACACCATTTGGAGGTGGCCACGATGCTAAGGAACATATAAACATATAGGCATTAATCAATTAAATCTGAATGCTTGTATTTTGAAAAATATATAGTAAAATATTATGTGCTGTCATCATGGCAAAGATAAAAGAAAATAAGTTATTAGAAATGAGTTATTAAAAGTATTATGTTTAGAAATGTGTTGAAAAAAAATCTTCCCATTAAACAGAAATTTGGGGGAAAGGGGTCACTAATAATTCCGGAGGGCTAATAATTCTGACTTCAACTGCATATATGCAGTTATTTTCCTCAAAGTAAATAAGGAAAAGGAAATAAATACAATAGAATAAAAACATGAAACGAACTGCTTTAAGCATCTTCACTGCAAGAATAAAACTTCAGCTACTAGCAGTGAGGGATTTTTCCTTTTGTTGTTTGATTAATGATGAAAACAGGCTGCAGCAGGATTATTGCGCGCTGTCACTTTAATGGTTTTATTGGCTCTTTCACGTGTCTTTTGACTCTCAACTCGTTTGTTTATTACACAAATAAGGGGGTAACACTTTACAATAAGGTTCATTAGTTAATGCATTTACTAACATGAACTAATCATGAACAACACATGTACAACATTTATTAATCATAATTGAACATTTACTAATGCATTACTAACATCAAAGTCTATGCCTGTTAACATTAGTTAATACACCATGAGTTAACATGAACTAACAATGAACTATTGTATTTTCATTAACTAACCTTAACTAACATGAACAATTACAGTAGTAAATGTATTGTTCAATGTTTGTTCATGTTAGTAAATGCATTAATTAACATTAACTAATGAACCTTATTGTAAAGTGTGACCGATGACTTTAGATGTGTGTGCACTGCTCATCTCTGAGCGTGTGTGCCGCACATACACAGCTGCAGCATGCAGTCTCATTCGTGCTTTTAAAAACATGATTCAAATGTAAATCAATGAACATGCGCATCCTGTGCAGCAAACGTTCCAGCACATGCTTTTAGTCATTTTCACTTTGAATTTTGAAGAGCAACAAATGTGTACAACTGGAAAGGGGCGGTATATGATGCAATAATCGTTTATCTCGAATAATGATTTTTCATAATCGTTAGAAGCCAAAATCGAAATCGAATTTTCGATAAACTGCACACACTTGACTGTATTTTGCAATTTTTAAAATTTAAATCCAATGATTTCCATGAACATCCACTTTAATAGTGTTCTTTAAAAATCTATTAAAAATCTATAAAAATAAAAATGAATAAATAGATAAATAAATGAATAAAAATCACAAAACTAAATAAAAAAATACTAATAATTTATTACAAAAAACGGAAAGTAAAGACATAACAAGTATGAATTTACCGTACCATACAATACCTTACCTAAAATTCTTGCTGGTATCAGGACTTTTGCAATCTTTTGTGAACAACCAAAACTCATTGACCATAAGGCCACAACTGCTCCCTGACAGACCAACAACATTGATTGAAACAATTGATTCAATGACACCAATGTTTTTCACTTTGGATTTCACTCTGGATTAAAAAATGTACAGCAGCTGATTAAAGCAACTAAACTCAGCAGCAGAAAACCATAAGCTGGACAGAAGAAATGGTGATGCAGAAAAAGAAAACTGATTTTTTTTTTTATATAGATTACATCAGAGTGGGCGGTAAATGGGTTGGCTGGTCTGATCCAGACACTGTATAAATGAAAGGACAGAAAGGAGAGCAGAACAAACTCCTAACAGGAGGAGACTCACTCATGGCCTTCGAGACAGAGGATCAGGAGACTCAATACTGCTTTCCTGACATCAACTCATCATGTGTCAAGAGGAGAAGCTTAAGTCATGGATATATCACCATATATGTGTTTGTATCGTTGCTGTCAGCATGGACTGTGTTTCTGAACCTGCTGGTGATCATCTCCATCTCTCACTTCAAGAAGCTTCACACTCCAACCAACATGATTATTCTCTCTCTGGCTGTAAATGATCTGTTTATTGGACTCGCCATGCCTGTAGAGGCCATCAGACTGATTGAGACGTGTTGGTATTTTGGAGACACTTTCTGTGGACTCTATTTATTATTTGTGTCAATACTTCTCTCAGCATCTGTTGGGAATTTACTTTTAATTGCTGTTGATCGTTATGTGGCTGTGTGTCACCCTTTACTGTATCCACAGAAAATAACCATCACTAACATGTTGATGAGTATCTGTCTAAACTGGTTTTGCTTATCAGCTTACTGCATTACCTTTGTAATTAAAAATAGAGATTTTGACACTCCACACAGAACAGCTTATTGTTATGGAGAGTGTTTCTTAATGATAAGTTTTAGCTGGATCATCACTGATCTGTTCATGTCTTTTATTTTTCCTTGCACTCTGATCATGATGTTTTATTTGAGGATTTTCTATGTCGTTCATCAGCAAGTGAAGGTTATAAACTCTCTGATGAAGCGTGATAAATGTGTAAAAGAGGGTTCAGTGAAGAGGAAATCTGAGAGTAAAGCTGCTCTGACTTTAGGAATCATTGTGACTGTTTATCTGCTTTGCTATATTCCATATTGTATCTGTTCTCTAACTGTAAACTCCTCCACAGCTCTAAATGTTATAGTATGGTTTTTGTATGCTAACTCTGGTGTGAATCCTCTGGTTTATGCTTTATTTTACACCTGGTTTAAAAAGACAGCTAAACTCATCTTAACTCTGAACATATTTCAGCCAGCATCCTCTCTGATCAATATCTTTACACAAAATTAATTATAATTAAAGCTGTCACTAATATAAAATTAATTTTTGATTTCACTTTGTAACGTTCACTACCCATGTTATATTACACATAGCTTATTTTAACCGGTAATTTCAATGTTTAAGTAACGTATGATGTACTGCCGTGAACACGGTCAAGATGAGTGACAATTGTACCTGTTATTAACTGTGAATCTGGTTTGGTGTGGGGGTTGTGTGGGGCTCATCTTTGCTTTATGATTTATCCCATATAATAATATATATAATATGCATAACTACCCTTATTTTATGGGTAAAATAAGGGTTATTTTATGGGTAAAATAAGGGTTTTTTATGAACCCTTATTTCATTAACTATTTCCTTTGTTACATTATTGTTGCATTACACATCTCAATAGAGTAAATTTATATCTATATAATGTCAGTTACTTTAATGTGTGTTTCTACTAGTTTGACTATTAAAACTCATCAAATATAAATCAAGAGTGATGATGATCATGAGCAGAGAGGATACTTGTGATTTAGACATGCTGTATTTAACTGATACTCTAAACCAGCAGTAAAATAATGCTAAATAAAAAATGTAGACATGAATCTACTGTAAATGTCATCCAGGATAAAGAAAAGCTTATAAATGTTCACAACAAATCACTGTCATAGATAGAGAATGAAGTTCAGCTTGAAGATCAGCTGAGCATTAACCTGGTCATTCAGGTTTGTGCTTCATAATCACAACATTGGTCAAAGCAGACCCTTTCTATTAGAAAACACAGTAAAACTACTTCAAGCTCTTATGATTTCAAGAATGGACTACTGCAAAGCTCTATTAGTAGACATTCAAAAGAGTAAGAATAAACCTGATTCAGAACACAGCTTCATGTCTGCTTTTTAGTGTTTTAAACCCAAAAGTGGTAAAACTCAAAATGTGAAATTTTCTATATTAAACTTGAAACAGCATCAGGATAAACATAAAAAATATCCCCAAATGTTATCATTATTTGACTTTTCTTGAGAACAAATAAATGGTACACAAATGCTATAACTAATCAACTGTTTAATATATACTATACATATTTTTACTTTACAGCTAAATTTTGGGATTAAATGCTGAAATTTAACACTAAAAACTGAACTACACTGTTCCAGTTACTATGACCATTTATGTGAAGCTGCTTTGACACAATCTACATTGTAAAAGCGCTATACAAATAAAGATGAATTGAATTGAAATGCCTTTAAAATGCTGAAATGCCTTTAAAAAATGCAGGTGTCCACGTTCAGACTGAACACTGTCAGTACCAGCCTGATCTCACGAGAAAACGTAAGTATTTTACATTTTGCCAGTTTAGTGGCTAATTC